TTCGATCCCCAGTCGAGGCACATACACGCATCAACCCATGAACGCATAAGTGAGTGAAACAACATTGTTTTTCTTCCTCTCTCTCTACCTTCCTCCCTCTCTCCAAGCCATTTTTTCTGAAATTTAAAGGAGAAGCAAATGGGGACTGTCTACCCTCCCTCCATCAGGCCCCTCCCCACCCCCACCCCGAGTCACTACCTCCTCCCGTTCTGCCACACCCCATCCTGTCCTGATGTTTCTTCTGGAACATTCACGCACCTTCTTTCCACTTGCACTCCCCAGCCCCCGGCCAGCCACCCCTCTGGCTCCTCCACACACACCCCCACCCAGGGTCTCCTCTGACACCCACACCAGCCAGCCTGGGGGCGCTGGGAAGGCTAAGGAAGATAGCTTCCCTTTGTTCAGAGAATGCTCCCGCTCCAACAGAGCAGGTCCACCTGGGGCCGGCAGTCAGCTCTCTACGTGACCTGCAGACATTCGGATCGGACGGCCGGTCGCACAAAGCTTTCAGCCAAGAAAGGAAGCCAGTGTCCAGACGCGCAGGCCTGGCCCTCACCTCGGTGGGTCATGCACCGTTCAGGCCTCAGCTGGAGCCAAGGGGGCTCACCTGGCCCGGACCTGGGAGGCCCACGGGTGCCCTAGCTCCGGCACACGGGCCCGGAGGCTCTGTGATGTCCTCTGGGCTCGCTCGCCGTCTCTTCACACTGCCTGCCTGTCCTGGCGTCTCGGGTTTCTCTGCCGCGAGCAGGAGGAGCCCTGGACCTGGGGGAGACCCCGGACTCACAGCTGTGAGCGATTCCCGCTTGTGCAAACACGCCTCCCCTTGCCCGGCTGGAAGCACTTCACCTGCCAGCCACGCAGGCCGCTCACAGACCCAGCCCGCCTGCAGCCACCCTGCCACGGGGAAGTGGCGCCCCTCCTCGGCCCTCGAGGGGGTCCCGAGGGCACACGGGCGCACGCTCTGCAGGCTGACACCCGGCTATCAGCCACGTGGTCCTCCCTGTCCCTCCGCCCACCTCTCGTCTCCGTGGGGACACCGCCTCCTGGGAGAAGCCGGGCTCCAGGGGAGGTGCCTGACGCGGGCCGGGTCTGGGTCAGTCCCGGCCACCGAGAGGGGAGAGGCTGCAGGAGTGTGAGCCTCAGCGGGAAACGGACCCCGCACCCCGCCTGCCCACCTGAGCCCAGTGTCCTCCTCTGTGACATGGGGACAGGGCGGCCCATGGGGGTGCGGTGAGAGGTTTAGCCCGTCACTCAGGGCCGGTAGCTCTCACTTCTGAGCCACCTGCCGGCCTCCTGCTCAGGGCGGCTCTGAGGCCAACCTCCCGGGGGGCACCGCCTGCCGGTCACCCTTAGCTCGTGTACCTGAGCACGTGTCCTCCCCACTCAGCCCTGCCTGTCTCCCGGCCAGAGGTACAGCAGACTCCATAGGGAAGTTTTTAAAATTCATTTCTTCCCTTATCACAAATGTGGACGTGAATTTAAAAATCAAACATGAAAAACAAAAAGCAAAGTTAAAACGTCCCCACAATCATTGTCTCTCTTTGGGAGCAAGGACGAGCGCGAAGGATTCCCCAGACCCTCGCCTCCGCCGAGACATGGTCACATCGCTGCCTGGCCACACAGCCGCTGGTCTCTGCAGACGGACAGACGGACGGATCACACTGTCCCTTTGTGCTTTTTACACCAGAGGTTGTCTTAACCTCGGCTTATGGACACCTTAAGCCCCTCTGCAGGGGAATGAGCAGGTATGTGCACTAATGACGGCCCCATCCGGCCTCAAGCCAGCCCCGACCAGAAACCCCACCCCTGAAGGTCTTGGGGCTGCCGATGTCTCTCTCTCTCTCTCTCTCACACACACACACACCCCACCCCCGCTTCCCAGCAGGGTGTGCTGAGCGCTGTGTGTGTGTGTGTGTGTGTGTGTGTGTGTGAGGGCCGGTGAGGACTTGCAGAGAAGGGAAGCCCCAGCTGAGCTGAAGGACCAGGGGTTCCCAGTGGGAAAAGGATTCTGGGGAGAGGGCCAGACCCTAACTGCCTGGAGGGCCGGGAGTCTGAGGAGGGAGACCAGAGACCTGGGTGGGGGGGGGGGAAGCCCGGGGCTGGAGCACTGGCAGAGCCCGGGGCTCCTGGGAGTCCAGCAGCGCAGACCCCTCAGCCCCCGCCCCAGGGTTTGGCCCTTAGCAGCCCAGCCAGCCCCACCAGGCGGGCCCAAATATCTACCAACGAGCTCCACACCGCATGGAGCACAGCGTGGTCCCCAGGCCCGCCCTCCCCGGGTCCTTCCAGGCACAGACTCCTCACACCAAATCCTGCCTGGACCTCCCTCTCCCCACCCCAGGGCTTCACCCTTACCTGGGCCCACGCTCCGGCCCCACACCCACGCCCACCTCCTGCTCCCGCCCAGACGGCTGCTCTGAGTCGCCTCAGTCCCCACCAGGCTCCTCTCTCCCTGACAGGCACACGGCGGCACCAGGCAGCACCGTCCCCGGCCTGGCCCAGCGTTTCCGGCGCCTCGCACAGCGCCCAGCGGGCCTGCCCTCCTGTGGCTCCTCTGCCAGGAGGACAGGCAGTGTGGTCATGAAGGGCAGCTGTGCTGCGTGGGGGGGGCTGCGTGGGCAGCACCCCCCCCCCCCGCCTTTCCAGCTCTGCCTGGGGCCCCACCTCCACCTCCCCACGGCAGCCCCAGCACAACGCCCTCCACTGTGCCCACCAGGCGAGGCCCTGCTCAATGCCGCCTCCTCCACAGAGCACACCCCGCCCCCCTGCCCGTCATCCCCTTCCTCCAAGCTGGTCAGCGTGGGCCGGGAAGGCAGGAGCCTCCCGGTTCAGCTCCGTGTCCCCCAGGGCCTGTGTGCAGCCTGTGTGCAGTACTCGCTGGACCCCCCGCCGGTGGAAGCGTCGGCACACACACCAACACAGCTGCCTCTGCAGGGCTTCTCCCCGGAGGAGCCTCTGCTCTCACCTCCTATGCGCACGCAGTGACCGGTGACCCGGCCCAACAGCCAGGGAGGCCGCGGCTGGAGGTCCCCTTGCGCCTGGAGCCTTCCTGGCCCCAACGGTGAGGAGCCCACACTTCCCGGCCCAGCTCCAGGCCCCAGCAGTGTCCTTGGCCCCCACAGCCCACTCCCAGCTCCTCAGCAGCTTCCCACCCTGAAGCCCATGTCCGCGGTGTCCCACTGGCCGCTGCTGCTCCACACCTCCTCCACCCGGCACCCATGGCGTGGCCACACGTTTCTCTGAAGCAGGCCCAGCACAAAGCACAGAGGTGCCCGGTCTGCCTCCCTCCGCACAGGAGACCAGGACGCTCCCATCAGGCCCCGCCTGCTCCCGGGTCCCTCCCCGCACAGAAGGCAGCGTGCACACCGGCCTGAACATCACTCCCTCCGAGCCTTCCTGACCTCGAGCCCCCACCCTCTCCCAGGCTGGTCTCTGCTCCTTTAAAACAAAGCTCAAAAGGAAGTGAGTGTCCATCAGAGCTCAGCTCTGCCACTCAGCTGTGCAGCTCAGTCCTCCTGCCTCTGGACGTGGACGGGCTGGGCTTCCAGGAACCTCATTCCCCTCCCTCCCCTCCTCGCCCAGCTCCCCTGCCCCTCCCTGGCTCCTCCTCAGGCCCCAGCTCTCCCGTCCTCCAAGGTGCCTTTCCCAGCTTCTGTAGCTCAGAAACCCCCTCGCCGCCCTGACTGCTGTTGTTCCTTCACTAGTGGCCCAGTGCATGAAACTCATGCACATTAAAAGGGAATTAGAGAAAATATTTTAATATTGCTATTTGCCCTTTATAACAGAAGTGTCAGAGATGTAAAAAAAAAAAAAAATTAGTAAAATGTGCCAAAACCGGTTTGGCTCAGTGGATAGAGTGTCGGTCTGTGGACTGAAAGGTCCTGGGTTCGATTCTGGTCAAGGGCATGTACCTTGGTTGCGGGCATATCCCTGATAGGGAGTGTGCAGGAGGCAGCTGGTCTATGCTTCTCTCTCATCGACATTTCTAGCTCTCTATCCCTCTTCCTTCCTTTCTGTGAAAAATCAATAAAATATATGTATTTAAAAATAGTAAAATGTATATGAAAATCTTCCTCCTGTCAGTCTGGGGCACACTGTGGGACCCAGAGTCAAGTCCCCGCCCACCCGCGGCACCTCAAAATTGCACGAGACCAGACCCGGCCCGTCCCACCCCCACTGGGTGAGATCTGGTGCAGGCCTGACTCCAGAGCTGGGCTCCAGGACAGTGACTCTCCAGTGCTCCAGGCGAGACCTCTAAGGCCAGGAGAGACTCCGCTCTTGTCTTCTGAGAAGACACGCTGAGGACAGAGCCGGGCAGGAACGCTGAAGTGTCTGAGGACTCAGGCCCAGCAGCTGGCCCAGCTCCCCCGCAATGAGACGGGCGCAGAGGGAGATAGAGGCACCCTTAACTGCAGGCCCTCTCGGAGCCACGTCCAGTCCCAAGGCTGACCCAGGAGCCCCGAGGGGCTGCTTCTCCGAGACTGGCCACAGTGAGCCCTGGGCATCTCCGTGCCAGCCCCGGGCTGAGGACCTCACAACCTCCATGCACCCCGGCAGCTGCCCTGGGCCTGACCCCGTTTTACAGATGAGGAAGCTGAGACTCAGACCTTAAAGCTGGAGTGCAATCAGGATTGGAACCCAGGTCTCCGCTCCCAGGCCTGAGTGGGCGACCAGAACATGTCCAGGGCGGCACCTCCCCACTGCCAGGAAAGTCTCACCCCATCCCAGCAGCAGCTCTGGCCCGCGGCTCCACGGCCAAGGGGAGGGGCTTGCTGGGGGGCGGTTCTGTGGAGGTGGAACAAGCACGCGACATGGAAAGACATAGCTGGGCTGGTTGCTGTGGCTCCACAGGCTGAGTGTCATCCAGATGCCAAAAGGCCGCCGGTTCAATCCCACATGCCCGGGTTTGGGGCTGGATCTGAGTTCTGGGGAGGCAGCCGACCGATGTCGCTCTCTCTCTCTAAAATCAACAAAAACATTATTTTTTTAAAAAGACACAGATGACAGGTGCAAAACAGAGGCTTTAATCCGAACAGCAATGAAGGCGCCAAGGGGCTGAGAGGGCCTGGGGGGCACAGAAGGCGGTGTCTGACCCGGAGGGAGGGGACACTGATGGGGCCTCTCCTGGGAAATTATTTCTGTGACGCTAGTGGCTCCCGTCCCAGCCTCTGCCAGGCCACTGACCCGGATCCCAGGTCAGCCCTGGTTGTGCTTCTGTGTGCTCCCGTTCCCAGAGGGTGCGGCGTGGTGGGCGCGGAGGGCAGCCTGGCTTGGGCAGGGAGGGTCTGCCAGAGCCAGCCCGGGAGCAGCGCTGGGAACTCTGGAATGGACACGCTCACCCTTTGGGGGGGCCTGCCATCCGCAGAGCCAAAGCCTGGGCTCGGGGGCCATCGCCCTCCTCCTGAGCAGAGCCAGGGAGGTGGGAGGACCAGAGAGCAGGCTGGCTGAGCCTCCTGCAGCCACTCACCACCGGCCACAGGGGCGGAAGCAGGGCCCGGCCTGGGAAAGCAAGCGCGGAGAGGAAACAAGTGGTCGTAAGAATGTACGGAGAGGAACCTGGGGTCTCCAACAGCTGGCCAGCGCCCCTCCTCGGCCTCTGCCGCCCCCAGCCCCTGCCGTCTGCCCCCCCAGAAAGCTGAGAGACGGCCTCACAGAAGCCCAGCCCACACAAAGGGAGCAGCCCCAGCAAAGTCAAGGCCAGAGAACGGAAAAAGCCAGGACGAGGCACTGAGCACAGGTACTCGAAGGCTCCCTCAAGCCAAGGCCGCCACCAGCCTCCGCCTCGGCCTCGGCCTCCGGCCTCATACACCCGCCCCCAAACCCAGCTTGGGAAATGGACCCACCCGTGGGAGCAACTGCTCCAACCCCGAGAGCAACAAAATCAGCAAACGCCTCCATCCCGCCTGCACAGAACAGCCTGGATCTCAAACGGGCGGCAGGGGGAGGAGAGGGGCTGGGGTGGCGCAGGGCGCAGGGACCATCCACCTGGCGGAAGTCAGGAAACTGGCCCCACTTTGGTCACGTGTCTCAACCTGGGTATTTCAGCCTTATGCCCTGGCCTTCCCCACCCCGCACTCACAGCCCCAGCAAACAGCCTCTCACCGAACAAAGAACAGGGGGGGGCGGGAGGGGACATGGCTGGGGCGGGGGCGGACACAGGAACACGGCTCCGGCTGCTCGGCCTCCTAGCACAGGGAGACAGGGTGGATGGGCAGCAGGCTCCCGAACTTGAAGTGCTGGATCACGGGGAACTTCTCCAGGCACTGCGGGAAGGAGACGAGAGCAGAGTGAGCGCTGCACGCTCAGGCCTGAGGGACCCAGAACTCCAGAGGCTCACACCACCCGGGCTGAGGAGGCCCAGCCGCACAGCAGCCCCTGGCCTGGGGGAAGGCAAGGCCTCCTACCTGTGCCAGACGCCCTCCTCCCACCCAGACCCCCCCTCCAGGACTGTCACCCCTACCGAGGAGAACGGGATTGAGGGGGAGATGAAGGCGGGGGAGAGGGAGGGCAGGGGAGAGGGAGGGGGAAGGGGGGGGGAGGGAGAGAGAGAAGGGAGGGGAAGGAGGAAGAGGAAGAGGAAGAGGGAAAGGGGAGAGGGAGAGGGCAGCCCAACGCCCCAAAGCAAAAGCCAAGAAGAGAGGCAGCCCAGGGACATCCCTTGACCCAGAGTGGGAGGTGGCACCAGCGGGAAAAGAACCCTCCATCCAGCTCTTTAAGGGCCCCCGTAGCCCAGGTCCCAGCCGGACAAATGATGTGGGGACACTGGAACCCAGGCCTGAGGACGGTTCAAGGCCCATTTTTTCTCATTTTCAGTTCTTTGGGCTGAAAAGGCATCTTGGCACTTCAGAGAGAGACAATAAGAACCAGCTGACAGTCCCTCCTCCAGGGCAATCCCAGGAGCCCTGTGTGGGGCAGAGAACAAGGGCATGGGCAGGGGGATGGTGCTACTCCGCAAACCCAGGCTCTGGCAGAGGAGAGGAGAGGAGACGGAGAGGGAACGAACAACCCCCAGAAGCTGGCCAGTCCCAGCAGACCCCAGGCCGGCACCCGGCCTCTGGCTGGGCCGGCAATGCTTCAGAAGCACAGGGCCAGGAAGGGGAGGGGCCCGGGCCCAGCTCCCGGCCCCCCGCACACAGCCCTGGTCCCTGGTCACGCGCTGGTTCTCACAGGCAGCAGCTCCAGGCATCGGAGGCTCTGCCTCCCCTCAGAAACAACCAGAACGTGCTGGGCACTTCCTGGCTGGGGTGGCCTTAGGGGGGTAAGCTGCCTTCTGTGGCTGTGGCTGCAACTTCCAACTAGCTCAGAGGGGACAAAGGCTTGCCAGGACCAGCCAGGTCCCTCACCTCCACCACCAGCTACAGAGATGAGGCCTGCAGCTTCGGGTCAGGGGGGAGAGGGGGGTCCAGAGCCTGGAGGGAGGCCGGGAGGCAGCAGGAAAGGGAGAGCTCTGTGGGGTGGAAGGACAGGCAACCAAGCTCAGAGTGAGCAGACCTCCAGGCTACATCGGGCTCCGGGGCCTGGGGCAGAGAAAGTGGGGAGCAGCAGCTGGGGGTGGTCCCTGGGGGAGGAGCAGCAGCAGATCTAGGCCAGAGGCAAAGTCAGCTGCCATTGTGCTTATGTCATGGAGGAAGTGGTGGGAGTGAAAGGGGGGAGCAGGGCCCTGGAATTTGAAAAAGGGTCAAAGGTCAACCTGCTTCTCGCAGCAAAGGCAGGCGGCTTGGGGAGGGGGTGGAGCAGAGAGCTCTCCACTCTCCCCTCAGAGGCCCTGGACAAGCTTCCTCAGGCCCCGGGAAGCGGGTGGGGCTAAGGCAGAGGCTGCTGGAGGCAGACAGCCCGGCTCAGGGCGGCAGTGAAAGGGCCCCTGGCGGCCTTTCTCCCGGCTCACCTGGCCCGGCCACACCTCCCTGCCGAGGGACAAAGGCTGGAGGCGCAGGCCAGCAGGCCCTCGGGGCCCTGGACCCGGCGGAGCAGAGGCCCCTCTGCAGGAAGAGCCGGCACAGGAGGGAGCGCTGGGCTGTCCAGTTCAGGAAGGCCGGGCCGGCAGCAGAGAGGCAGGCAGCCGCTTCCAAACCCGGCCGCCGCCCAGGGGCCTGTGACCGCACGGCCCCCCGGCCGCCGGAGCCGTCTCTGGGCAGGCGCATGCGTCCCAGACTCCCAGGGACCAAAGACCAAGGGCCACTCTCGGCCACACCACAGAGACTGGTGTTCCTAAGGTCGCCGGGTCCCGCAAACAAGGCCACCGCCACCCTGTGCCCCGCAAGGCTGCCAGCTCGCACTGCGCCTGCGTGCACCCGGAGCAGGGCCTTCCCGTGTTTTCTGCTCATGCTCCCCCCTCGGTCCTGAGCTGCAGGTCCGGTGGGTCCCTGTCCTCCTCGTGTTCCACATCCACAGAAACTGCCCCTGCCGCCGGGACTGTCCTCCCAGCACCATCCCCTCTGGTCTGAGTCTGCTCCTCCCGCCTCCGCTGTCAGTGAGAAGGTGGCAGGGTCTCCTGTTCTCCCTTAAGGGCCCAGGGCAAGATAAGTTTAGTTACTCAGCCAGGAGCCTGCAGGGCGGCATCTTAAGAACCCAAACAGGAAGGGCACCAGGGTCCTGCCTGTAACAGGCGGGTCCCAGGAGGGGGAGGGGGAGGGGGAGGGGGGTAGTGAAGGGCCCTTCGCCCCTTCCATTCGGCACACAGCCCCAGCAGTGCGTTCAGAGTTCCCGTCAGCCCCCGCTGAGACTGGCGGGCGGAGGGCAGGGGCCAGTCAGGACCAGTACCCCCAGAGGGCGGTGCTCTCAGGCAGAGGCAGAGCAGAGGGCCGGCTGCCCTGCCCGGAAGGAGCCGGTGCAGCCCAGGAACCTCCCTCCTCGCAGATTAGGGAGGTATGTGGGCTGGAACCTAAACACAGGATGTGAAGCCCAGAGGAAAGGGACTGGAGGGGGAGGGGCGGGAGGAAACAGAGGGCCAGCCCGGTCAGTTCCAGTGCCGTTAACCCCTTCAGGGCCATGCAGGGGGAGCCAGGCCGCTGGAAGCCTCTGCACTTCCAAACTCTACCACCCGCCGACCGCTCCCCCTCTCCCTGCCTGCCATGGGCTCTGAGTGCCCTGGGGCCATGCAGTGGGTCCAGAGACAGATCCTCCCTCAGAGGAGGCAGACGGATGGCCAAAGGTCAAGGGATGGCACCACAGACAATACCTCAGACCCCGTCTAAGGCGACAGGACCACCTGCTCTAGGGGGACTTCACACCCAGGCCCTTCCCTGGCCAAGGCCAAGCGGCTCAGACTGGTCTGCCCCAGCTGTGGAAGGAGCCAGTGGGAAGGACTGAGCGGAAGTGAAATGGCTCCTCCCTACATGCAAGGGAAGGCCACCCCTGTGGCTGGGAGAAGGGTGTCAAGGAGGACAAAGAAGGCAGGGCACCCCCAGGAGCCCTGGGAACTCTGACTGGGGTGGGGGAGGGCCACCTCAAGTGGTCATTAAAAATGCCAGCTCTGGCCGGCCAGCATGGCTCAGTGGTTGAGCGTTGACCTATGAGCCAGGAGATCACGGTTCCATTCCCGGTCAGGGCACGTGCCTCCAAAGGATAAAACCTTTCCAAGCATGTCTTCATTTTTGTATCCCTGTGGGTGACAGCTATGAGGGGCCTCTGGCCACCTGACAGGCGGGAATGGAGATTTCCCCTCCACCACCCCCCACCCCCCAGCAGCAGGGCCTTCCCTCCCTCACTTCAGAGCTGGACCTCAGTCCAGTGCTGTCCTGAAAGCCCATCCCACAGATGGAGGTGCTGAGGCTCCAGTGTGCGAAGGGCGGGCCCAGAATCCAGAGCACAGCAGTGGGGCGGGGTGGGAATAGCAGCCCCTCACCTCGGCCTTGTACATGCGGATGAGGCCCTGGTTCACCTTGGACCAGGTGGGGACGGCGCTGATGTTCCACAGCTGGTTGGAGTGCTCGGCAAAGGGACCCGTCTTCATCTGGAAGAGAGTTTGCAGCTGGGAGCCCATGCCTGCTCCCCATGGCAAGGTCAAGCATGCATACACGTATACACATGGAAGCATGCACACACACACACACACACACATATGGGCACCAGGCCACAGCAACTGCCTGTGGGGCACACACATACGAGCACGCTAACAGACAGAGACAGGGTCCCTCTTGGCCTACGAGTCTCACTGGGCAAACATAACCCTACTCAACCTCTTCTTCCACAGCCACAGGGCGGGGTCTGGTGCCCCCCGCCCCCCGCCCAGCAGCCTCAGAGAAACAAACCTCCACCCAAACTCCCGGTGCCTCTCCCCCTGGCAGCACGGGGACCCACTCCCACTTAGACAAACAGCAGCCTGGACCCCAACTTGCCCAGCCCAGCCCCCCACACAGGGTGGGCTCTGCACTGGGCACCGGGCCTAGTTGGCAGAGCTAGAAGCCGAGGGAGGGGTCGGTTTGGAGGGTGGCACGCTGGGTGAGACCAAACCAGGCGTCGCCTGCAGAGTGGACGAGGGCGCCTGTGAGGACTCAGGAGGAAGGTCTGCTTAGAAAACCGGCCTGACTGGCCAGGGAGGAGGAGAGGGAGAGCGACCAGCAGGAACAGGCAGGAGGAGCAAGCACAGCGCCATGCCTGGACTGTCCTCGGGCCAAAAGCCTGGCTCGGGAAGGAAGGAATTCTGCATCCAGCACACTGTCCTGGCGTTCTCGTGACCTCAGAAACCACAGCACTGAGACGGGACGTCCGTGTGCCCCTGACAGCACGAGGCCAGCACACTGGTGTCTAACAAGCAAGCATCAGTCCCTCAGCACTGCCCCTCCTTGGCAGAGGAGCAGCAGCCAAGGATGCTGGGGGAACAGGGTTCAGAACCTGAGCCCCAGGCTTCAGAAGAAAGAGTTTAAAAAGCAAAGAGGCTAAGCTGGCAAGGAAACATAGACTTGGACCCCAAGAGTGTGGAAGATTCCAGAAGAGGCTGTGCGTGGAGGTGGGGCTGAGGGAGAGCTATTCTAGGAAGAAAGGAGGGGTCCAGAGTTCTCTCTGCAGACTGGGCATCTCAGAATAAAGACCCAAAGCATGTCACCACCCCTGCCCTCTGGCTGCGTCTCTGCCAGGTGACCGCCAGGCCTTCCACTCCTTTAGGAAGGGCAATTCCTACAGAACTGCTATTCGGACCCTCCAATCCCTCTCCTGGCCAAGGTCCCCCAAAGCCTATCTCAACCCCCAAATTCAGGACAACAGGCTCCTTCCTCCAGCTGTGTTGCCGCAGCCCAAGGCACCAGAGACAGAACCCACCCTGGTGCTCACAGGCTTCTCCTGGGCCAGTCCCTTCCCCCAGAATCTCCCCTCCTCTACGGGGAGCCAGGGGCCCTGGCCTTCACGGATCTTTGTTCCAATGGTCCTCCTCAAGCAGGCTCCACCCCAACCTCCACCGCCCCTTGGCCCCGCCCCCCGCAGGCTCTGCCCCTGGGGACCGGGGCTGGGCTCCCGCCCTCTCTGGCACTTCCAGGACCTGCGCTCAGGGATCACAGGAGAGTGGGACCAATTTCACTCTGGCCAGGGTGCCACGAGCACGCCTCTCAGGAGGACCCTGCTGCTACCCTGCTGGCTTCGCCCCACAGCAGCTCCAGGGGCCTGCGCAGCAGGGGCGCTCAGGCCAAGGCAGGCAGATGGACGCTGAGGCTCTGCTTCCTGCTTCCTGGGCCAGCCTCACCACTGAGGGCTTGGGAAAGGGCCCCAAAGGCCTCTGGCTGCTGGCAGAGCCGCGAGGCCGAGCTCCAGAGCCCGGTGGCCCTGACTCCACCCAGGAAAAAGCCAGAGCTGCCCCCTCCACCCCAGGCCTTCAGTGTCCTAAGGTCTCCCCAAGTCCCTCAAAAGGGCTCTGTGACTCTGGCGAAGGAAAACAGAGGAGGGAGAAAGGAATGGGGGCAAGAAGACAAAAAAAATCAGCTCCTCCTAGCCACAAAGGGAGAAGAGAAAGAGCGAGAACAAGCAAGCAGGCTGCAGTCCCGCCGTGACCCCAGGGGGATTGTGAGTCAGAGCAGCCATATTGAGCAGGAAATTACTCACAGACGCTGCGTTCCTGCCTCTCCACTCCCAGGAGAATCGGCCTTTTGTAAATGGTTCCTCTGTCAGTAACTGAGGGGGGATGGGGCGGGGGTGGGGAGCTCTGCACAGCGCCTTCCTGTCAGCTCCTTCCCTTCCAGCTGAAATCTGATCCCTCCCTTCCCAAAACTCCAAATTTAGAAGCCAGATTGAAACTGAAATTCTTTTCCTGCCTGCCCTGCTCTTAAAGGCGCCAGGGCTGCATTTCGGATGCCACAGCAGCTCTGCCAGTGGGGTCCACCCTCTTCTGGGATGCCAGGCTAGCAGGGCAAGTCGTGGGCTGGCTCCTCGCCCCGCAGGAGGCTATGGGAGGAGGGGCCGGTTTTATTTCCCACTTCCCGTTTTCTTCCACCTCCGCCCTGCGCCAGCCCCACCGAGGGACGCTGCCCTTCCAGACCAAGCACACAGACTTGCACACCGGCCTCCTGGTCCCCCGTGCCAGTGCCAGGCCAGGCAGCTACTCATCCATCAGGGGCTACAAAATGGTGGTCTGAGGTGGCAGGGGGAAGGGCTGGGGTAGTGTAGATGCTGCAATCAGCAGCCAAGCCAGTGGGTGAAACGGGCCCTCGCTGGTCACCTCAGCTCTGGGCACACCCCTGCTAGCATCCCATGTTTACCACCATGCCCCAGCACCTAGACCCAAAGTGGAAACCAGGCTATGCAGAGAGTGTGGAACCTCGGAGAAATCCCCCTCCCAGTTCATGCCTCTCCCCCAATTAAATGTTAAAACCATCTCCAAGTTTGACATGCCTTTAGCACCACCTAGTGGTCATTGTAGGGCTAGGTCTTTCTGAAGCTGAAATTTGTGCGGGGTGTGTGTGTGTGTGTGTGTGTGTGTGTGTGTGTGTGTGTGTGTGTTTTCCTCTCAGCCCAGCCTGCACCCTCTCCAATCCAGGACCCCTCCGGGTATGTCCAACTACCGGTTTAGGCCCAAGCCCCAAGATCAGCAGACATCCCTCTCACAATCCTGAACCACTGGCTCCTAATCACTCACCTGCCTGCCTGCCTAACTGGCCCACCCTGCCAACCTGATTGCCTCTCACTGCCACTGTGTGCCAGCCTGATTGCCCCTAACTGTACCCCCTGCTGGTCTAGTTGCCCCTCACTGCCCCCTCTGCCAGCCTAATCGCCCCCAACTGCTCATCTGCTAGCCTGGTTGCCCCTGCCTCCCACCCGCCGGCCTGGCCACCTCTTACTGGCCCCCTTGCTGGCCTGGTCGCTCCTCACGGCCAGTCTGGTTGCTCCTCACAGCCTGCTTGTTCAGTCATTTGGTTGTCCCTCACTAACTCCCCTGCTGGCCTGGTCGTAAGCAGCCATCTTGTGAGGGTGTGAGGGTTAATTTGCATATTACCTCTTTATTATATAGGATATCCAACAAAAATACGAAGTTTAACCTGGAGTCAATTCCCATATTCCCTGAGGCTTGGCCTCACCTTCTTCCTTGTTAGTTACTGGCAGGGACCCAAGGGATTGGCCCACCACGAGGGGGAGCCAAAACAGTTTAGTCCAGCAGTTGCCAACCTTTTGGACCTCACAGTCCACAGACCACCAGCTGGTGACTGCTGCTCCAAAGGTTTCCTTAACCAGCAGGTGCCAACCTTTCAGACTGGTTGGCAACTGTTGGTTTAGCCCCTTGCCTCACGTGAGCCAAGCCCCTGGTCAGCATAAAATGTACACCCTTTCCCCCTCCCTGCTCCTCAGCTCCTCCTGGGGTCCCCGGGCTCTGCAGACCCTTGCATGCCACTCTGGAGGGAGCAGCACGTGACTGGCTCCGCAGCAGTGAGCCAGGCTGCCCGCAGTCCTCCCGACCTTGGGCCAGCCACACTGCTGAAGGCAGCAGATCTCTGAGAGGGAAGTGGGGCCGCCCAGCCGTCAGTCCCGGGTCCATTTGCTGACTTGGAAAAACATGTCGTTCCCCTCTGGCCTCTGGAGCTGGGCAGAAGCCTGAGCCGAATGCTGACCAGGAGCCTGGAGCCCCAGCTGCTTAACCAGGCTTCCCCCTTCTTTAGGGGGCTCAGAACGGGCAGCCAGGTCAGCAGCCCTCACAGGTAGGGGTCCACAGGTGTGCCAGGGACAACACCGGGGCCAGTAGACCTGCTTGTGGGCATCCGGACAGAGAACGGAGACAAGACCCTCTCCAGACACAGAGCCAGGGCCCCTTTGGCAGCTGGGGGAGGGCCTCCTGGAAGAGAGGCCCTGAGAGCAGCGGGCAGTCACCCGAAAAGTGTGTTTAATACACAGCTCTGGCTCTCGTCCTCCAGACTCTGACTCCGAAAGCTGGGGTGGGCACAGGAACGCGCGTTTTAAAAATCCTCACCTGAGAAGTATATTTCAATTCTTTTTTTTTTTTTAGACACGGTGAAAGGGTGGGGGGAGGAATGAAACACACTGATTAGTTGCTTCTAGCTGGGGATTGAACCTGCAACTAAGGTATGTGCTCTTGACTGGGAATCCAACCCGAGACCACTTGGGCCTGGGGCCACCATTCTAACCATTGAGCAAACCAGCCAAGGCAAGGGACATGCATTTTAACAAGCTCCAATGCGATCTTGGAGGCTCAGTTAAACAGTCGTGCGTGTGGGCGGGTCCAGGCTGCTGTTTTCACCCGTGGCTCTTCACCTGCCCGTCCCCAGGCCCTGACAGAGAAATCTGTCCTGCCGTCCACACCAGCATCTCTCCACCCCCCCAATGGCTTCACCCACCCATCCACAACAGAGCTCACAGACCCTGGGGCCCCACCTGCAGGATTGACACCCCCACCTTCCACCTGCTGCTTCGGTCACTGAGTGCTGGTGAGCGAGGCCTAGTGTCATCCCACGTAGACACCCAGGTGGCCAATCCAGGGGAGGGGTCCTGGATGGTCAGAAGCTGACTTCAGAGGGGCCTAGTGGGGCTGCCTTTTCCATGATCAGCCTCCGGGGCCAGCACTGCCAGCTCTGGGCTTCTCCCTCTCCCCCTGCCCTCACCTCGGTGATAAACAGGATACACTCCAGGAACATGAAGTCCTTGTGATTCTCGTTCACGGCCTTCTCGTCGACAAAGTGCCTGGGCTCCAGATACGGGTGATCTGGGAACAGCAAAGAGCCCCGGGGTTCAGAACCAGGTGCTCACACCCCCGGGCACCTTGGCCCACACCCACCCAGGGCCCTGAACACTGGACCTTACAGGGGCAATCGATGGCCTCGTGTGTGTGAACATGCCAGTGTGACAAGCTCCGGCTCTGCTTCTTTCTAACCATGTGACTCAGTCCCCTCATCTGTGCATGGGGGTACGAACAGTACCACCTGACAAGCACAAGCACAGAGAAGCACGTGGCGGGTGCCTGCGCAGGGGCAGTTGGTGGTCGCCAGGCTCACAGAGAAGGCTCGGGAGATCCCCACCTGAGCTCTCAGAGCAGGGCCTGGCAGAGTGCGTGCTCAACAAATGGTCACTCATTAATATTCACAGTTATCACCACACACTTACCCACTCCCGCTTACCCGGGGGGGGGGGGTCCACCAGAGCAGCCCACAGCGAGGGGCCCACTGCCCAGCACCTGGTGGCAGTGCCCTGAGGGGCCCCTGGCACACCGCTCAATAATGACAGTGGATGACATTGAGTAAAGAGCCCCCGATTTTCAACATAAACCCCACAGCTGCTGCCAGGAGCTGGGGCACATTTCACGCCAGTCCATTATGCGCCAGGCGGGGGCCGCTGCGCCAGCCCATGTCACGTTCCGTTATCTCGGTGGAATCTGCCTCCGCCTGCCACGCTGGCTGCAGCAGGGCGGCAGCAAGCAACCTCCATAAACAGCCAGGCTAACGTGTGCTTTCCCAGATGTCACTATCTGGCCGGAGAAGGCAGGAGGGACAGAGTGCACGCTGGCGGGGAGGGGTGTGTGGAGGGGTGCATGCCCCGCTTCAGTACCTATCAGCTGGGAACTGCCCCAGATGAAGGGCAGAAACTGGAAGTCATCCAGGCCCCACACGCCCTGGCTGCCCGCTGGCTCCATCCGGTATGTTTTCTGGAGTTTCCGCATCACCTCAAGGTACCTGCACAGGAGCGGGGGGAGAGGAGAGAGAGGAGAGGTAGCGAAAATAAAAGGGCAGTCTCAATCCTTCTGCCACCAGGAACTCAGGGAGGCCAGCAATGACCACCTAAGACCACACTGATCTCTATTTCGGTGAAGCCACGCCCCAGTCAGGATCAGCTGATGCTCTCAAAGTAATGTCGCTTCATTTTCCTCCCACACAACCTTCCTTTGGCCCATGAAGGGGCAAAACACCTCCTGGGAAAGGGAACTGGCACCATCAACTCCCAATGCTGTGCAGACCCAGGCCGGACCTCAGCTTCTCCAGCCTCGGCATGCCAGTGCTGTCAGGGCTGCGGCCTACGCTCCGTGGAGCGCCTGCACCACAGCATGGCTGGAGCAGGGCCCGGACGGACTCTGCCAGCTGCGCTCCCGGGCGGCGTTCGCGCGGTGAGGGCACAGGTCAGGGCTGGAGCGCCTGGCTCCCCTGGCTGTGTGGCTGCTTCTCTGCCTGTGCTCATCTAACAACGGAAATGGCAGGGCCACGTCCCCGGGTTTCTGTGGGAACTAGCCATGTGCCGCTGAACGACGGGCACACGTCCTGAGAAACGTGCCATGAGGCGGCTCCGTCGCCGAGCAGCCATCTCAGAGTGCACGTGGCCAAGCCCAGGCCCTGAGCAGGGGTGCAGCACTCTGCCCGCCTCCACAGGGGAGCACTGGGAAGCCTTAGCAATCCTGAGGGAGCGTGTCCTTCCCTGGTTTGCACTGGGACGGCCCGTCTGCAGCCCCAGCTGTTAGGACAGGACCACAGAGCCACGACGCTCCGAGAACCTCACCCCCTGCGCCAGCCTGACAGGGACGAGGAGAGACCACTCGTTCCTCCTCCCACGGCAGTTACCCTCCTGCCCTCGTCTCACTCACCGATTGAACACCTTAAAGACAATAGCTATCTGGTCGTCCACCCGGAGCACCCCAATCTTGCAGAGACAGCAGAGGAAAGCAGCAAAGGCTGCTTCGTGTCCTGAGGGAGTGAAAACAGCCGAGGTTGACAGTCTTCCAAAAAACAGTGCGACGGTCTCGGTCTCACCAGTATCCCAGTCACCGAAACTGCCCTCCCAGGAGGAGGCCAGCATGGAGGGGACAGGTTCTCTTCCCTGCCCAGCAAGACTGCGGCCTCTGAAGAACCACAGCGCTGTAATTCTCCTCCCAATAGGCCCAGGCTATCGCTCACTAACCCCTGTCCATGTCAGACAGTGCCTGCCCTTGTCTGACAGTTCATGACAGACATTAAATACACAATCACTTCTATGATCCTAGCTCTGAAGGGGAAGGAGAAGGGGAAACTGTCACAGGGGAACCCTGACATACGGGCTCAAGGTTTCCCTAAGAAAATAATATTTAATCTGAAAGGTGGATAAGAATTGGCAAGGCATGGGGGTGAGGAAAGCAAAGAGAGCGTTCTAGTCAGAAGAAACAGCATGTGCAAAAGCCATGAGGCAAGAAAAAAAAAGTGATATGTTTGAAGAACCCTAGGAAGGCCAGTATGGCTAACGCAGAGAGCGAGGGAGAAGGCGTAACAAGATGAGGCTGAGATCAGATAGGCTGAACGGCCATCCTAAGAGCTCAGACGTCATCCCCAGAGCAATGGGGCCACTGAAGGCTTCCAAGCAGGTCACGTTCTAGGCATGATCACACTATAGTCAGAGGCACCCTCTTCCTTTCCTAGTCGTGTCAGGAGTGGTGGTCAGCAGGACAGAAAACACGGACTGCTGTGGACTGAATCCATGTTCACAGAGCCAGAAAACACATCTGGAGGGAGGTGGAGAGAGTATTTCAGGGACTTCCTGTCCTTCTCCTCCCGAATGAAGGGCCCTCCAAAGACAAAGCACTTGTGAACTGTTGCTTTCACCTGCACAGTTTCTGATCATGACCAGCCAGATCCAAACCATCATCATTCAGGGGTGACCATCACTCTTGCACATCTGAGCGCAGCTGAGAAAGGAAGAAAACCCCACCCCTGCTGACCTGGCCCCTCCCCTCCGGGTCTTTCCCTATTAGTCTCAAAGTTTCAAAACTTGATACACCTGTTCCCTAGCAACAGGGGAAGCAGACACAAAGCTTGCCCAGGATCCAGGTCCAAGGGGGCCCTTCTGCAGGCCTACCTCTGCAGCCAGGCAAGGGGAAGGCCCAAGAGAACAACAGCACTTGCATTTGCCTGCTTTGGGGTGGAAGGGGAAGGAAAGGCAGGCCTACCAAAGCAAGGATCCTTCTCAGACACCCCTGGCCTGGAAAACACTCCCCCATTAGGGTGTCCACATGCTCCATTTCCTTGAGAACTCAAGAACATGGGGAATGTGGCAAGAGCAGGGGCATAGGGAGAAGGTGGCCACAATGCTGCCAGAGGCTCCTGAGCTCTCTCATTCCTCAAGGCTTCTGTAAGCAATTTCCTTGAGATATAGTGAGTGCTCAGTAAATCATTTTGGTGATGACAATGAGCTCAGAGAGACCATTTTTACAACGAGCAGGAATCAGCTCTGCTCATACGGCAGCGGGCATATGGCATCAGCTCCCCCTGGTGGTTGGAGCCAGAGCTGCAGGAATAGCAGCAAGCCTTGCAACCAGCAGTGCTGTACCCCAGCTATCCCCATCAGGCTGATGCTCAAGGATCCCCAGAGACAACCCGGAAGCAAAGAGGAAACAGTCCAAGGAAAGGACGCAGTTTAGCCAAGTCAGTGCCCAGAACGGCAGGTACCTGTGCCATAGTCGATGCGCGTGGAGTTCCCCACTGACTCCTTTAGGTAAACGGCCACCTCAGGCACAGCAGCTGCCAGATGGGTGGGGACCACTGTGGCCACCAAATTTTCTGCTTCCTGATAACACAAGAGACACAAAGTGGTGGCAGCAGATTATGCAGCATCATGGTAGGCAAGCGCCCAGGGGCAGCATCTGGCTAGGACCCTGGCTGCTCTGCCAGATGGCCTGGCCCCTGCTCTGACGGGCCACAGAAGGAAAAGAAGGGAGAGCATTTATTCTTATAAAACAAAGACTACTCTGGGGTGGCTTTTCATTTGCTGACCCTTCCTCCAGATGACAAGGTCCTGGGGGCAAGATAGCAGGGATCTGAAAAGAAGACATTAAACTTTCCCATCCGGTGTCCCATCAACATCCCATAGATGTCATCTTTCTTCACACGCCCAGCAAGGGAGTTTGTGCCATGTGTCCAGCAAAAGATGTATGCAAGGATGTTCATGGCAGCACTGTTACAGCAGCCAAACATGAAAACAACCCACGACTGAAATGTCCATCAACAGTAGAATGGATAAATTGTGCTATGTTCACACAATGGAATACTATGCAGCGATGAAAAAGATACACTGCTACACACGACAATATGGGTGAGTCATACAGACATACCATTGAGTAAAATAAGCCAGACATTTATATGACGTTCAAAAAATGTTAAAATCTATCTATGGGACAGAAATCAAAAGAGCTAGGGCGATATCAACTAGGAGGGGCACCGGGCCCTGCTTAAGTGCTGGAATGTTCTATGTTTAATATGGGTGGTGGCTGAAAGGGTAAATATACATTAAGGGTAAAAATACAGTAAGGGCATAAATATCGATACGTTAAGCTGTACAGCTACGATTTGTCAGCTTTCAGTTATAACTCTGAAAGGATCTAACAAAACAGCTCAAGCCCAGGTGCCATCTGAGGTCCCAGAGGCGGCGGAGCCCCTCCCAGGGAGGAGAGCATCGGGCTGGGTCCTTGGCGCTCCCCTCGCCCCATGTGCCAACACCGGGCCAGAGAATGAGAACCCGAGCGCCTCGCGTTCAGTGTGAACACGTGGCGTGAGAATCTCCGGGAGACCCGGGGGAAAGCTGGGTCCTCAGACCCCACGCTGGGCCTGCAGACTGCTTTTCTAAGGACGGGTTGCAATCCTGCATTTTGTTTGTCCGCTTTGAACAGGTATCACCTTCACGTGATTCAAAAATAAACAGGTGGTAAGAGGGCTGCATGGAGAAGTCCCACTCCACCCTTGTCCCCATCCCCTCTTCTCCCCGCCCCCAAAGAAACTACAGTTTTGCCTTTTGTGTCTCCTCCCAGTGATGTTTCCCTATGCAAACTGGGCAATGCAAACACACTTTTATTTCTGCCTCCTTCTAACCAAAAGGCAGCTTGCAATATGCATCACAGGCCTCGCTGCTCTTCAGCCTGACAGTGGACTCCTCACTTTGCCTTACAGCTGCACATGCTCCATTTATCTAACTGACCCCCTGCAGATGGACACACAGGTGTTTCGCTCAGTTGCCTACTAAGAAGCCCTGTGCAGAGAACTGTGTATCCACATGGCCATTCCCAGAGGACGGCTAAATGCATGTGTACTTCTGGTAAATGGAATGGCCGTTTTAACAAACTCCCAGAGATTCTGATATGCCTGAAAGCTCCCTCCAGCCCAGCCCCCAGCCTGTCTGTGGCAGCCTCACCTGGTCCAGTTTGGCATACCAGGTCCTGAAGGCCTTATTCCCAAATCGAGAGGGCTGGTCCACGGGAGGAGTCTCGTCAATCCACCTGTCCAGGGTGTTGAGAAGAGCCACCAGTTTCTCAATGGCCTGTGGGGGCAAAAGAGAGGCAGCCAAGACACAATGACCAAGCGAGAGCCAGCGGGAAGTCCCAACTGTTGCTGAACAATGACCCCAAAACATGGTGCTAACTGGCATCCGCCTTGCTGTCCCCTTTCTTCCCAACATGCTGAGTATGAAAAAGGCCAGGGGCAGTGAGCTTTCCAGAAAGGGACAGCATCCGGCTGAAGGGACAAGTGTGGCTTTGGCAGCTGGTTCTCTGGCTGGCCTCGAGGAGGTGTTGGACAAGCACGAACTGCAGCCCTGCCCTTCTTTTTTGTGTTTTTAATACATTTTTATTTATTTCAAAGAGGAAAGGTGAGGGAGAGAGAGAGAGAGAGAGACGTCAATGAGAGAAAGAGTCATTGATCAGCTGCCTCCTGCATGCCCCACACACTGGGGATCGAGCTAGCAACCTGTGCACATGCCCTGACCAGGAATCAAACTATGACCTCCTGGTTCATAGGCTGATGTTCAACCACTGAGCCACGCCAGCTGGGCACACCTGACCTTTTTCATCAGAATCAGTGGGGTCTTCTGTTTAGTACGTAACACCGCCTCACAACAGAAAACAGAAATGTAAAAGGAAGAAAACAAAAATCACCAGTAATCCTAACACCCCAAAATAAGCATTATTGACTTTTTAACATATTCTTCATTTCCCCCCACTTTTTTCTATTGCTTATCATGGTGACAATGTCTAAGGCAGCCAGATTGATTCAAAAAACACCATTTAGTTGTCACAAGACCTGGAGCCAGTGACTTTAACTCTGTGCCTATTACTTCATCTTAAAACTGGCATGCTGGTTAATACCTCTCGAGGCTGTCATGAGAACTAAACAACCATCCGTGAAGGATGCCTAGTGCAGGGCCTGGCACAGGTGATGGTGTGATTATACACAGACTCTGAAGGGGCACAGCACACACTGCTTTGTAGCCTACTTTCTCCTGAACCTCTTTCCACATCAGTATGTAAGCATGACTCCAATAAGTGACCAAGACTTCACTGTGCCAGTGAACTACAATTTATTTACTGAACCCCTCACCCCTCACTACTAAATGTTTGGGTTCTTTCCAACTGATCACTACCCCAAATAACACGGAGATAAGCAACCTGGCAACTCATCCTCCGTGAAAATGCTGGGTCAAGGTGTAAACGTGGGTAATGCCTTGTAGGACCACAGGTGTTCAGATCCCGTCCCTCATCGCCACCTTTCCCACAGAAGACAGGGCTGAGGAGTGGAATCGGTGTCACAGGCCAGGCCAACATGAGCACACAACATGTTACTCAACACAGCCATCAGGGAGGCGGCCTCGCCAAGACGCAGGTCTGTGAGGACGGGGAGAAGAGAGCTCCTTGCAGATGGGGCTGACAGAAATAGCCAAGTGAGGGGCAACGAGAGGCCAGGGAGAACACGATACAGCAGACAGTACCAGTCAGGTGCCCTGGGAGGAAGGACCTGCCGAAAGGATCACGCCTGTGCCTACTGACCATAACCATCCAAGGTAGCGGTCACCAACCTTTTGGACCCCATGGACCACCAGTGGTCCACAGACTACCGGTTGGCGACCACTGGTCTAAGGAGATGCCTCCAGAGGCCCTGGCACCGGTAGGAACCAGCAGGGTGGTGCCCACAGAAAAAGTTGTGATAAGGAGGGCAAGGCCTGGTCAGGTCTGCCATGCAGAGACGCGTCCCAAGAGCCATGTATGTACTTGGAGGTGGGAGCGTAGGGGGAGCCTGAGCTAATGATATACATACTACCCGATGCCCCCCCTGTACAGCCCCAGGAGGCAGAAATCACATTGCTACCCATGCAAGCAGTGCCTCCTGTCATTGGGCAACATGACAACAGCCCTCATCACCCCGTTCCCAGGCTCGAGGCCCTGGAGGAGGGAAAGGACCTGCGGAGAACAAGGCTCCCTTCAGACTTGGCTGAAGCAGTGGCCTGGTGACCTACGCCTGTGTGCCGAAATGTGGCAGGAAGTGCTGTGAGAACCTGTCTGTGAAGAACCAGGTCACCAGGAACACTGGTATCAGGGACAGAGCAACAACTTCATGGAGCATCTGGGGCTGAGGAGGGTGCTGCAATAATCCTGGCCAGAGATGTCAGTCTGTGGTGACACACCACGGGGGACTAAGAAGATGCTCCAGCCCGCAGAAGCAGGCTGACCATGAATAATTTAAAGGCTCCCCGCCCTGCGATCTGCATCGAGTGTTCCCATTGGGGGTGGGAGGCTGCCTCTATTGTTTGGCTAGTTGGGGGAAAAGGTCCCAGGAGGGAGAACTTGGGCTTGAACCTGAAAACACAGAGAATACATTGAGCTGCACTCCTTCTCCCTAATCCAATGCTTTCTTTTTGGATTTCATGGACAAGTACAATTTTGGAGACATTTTTTATTTTGCTCTCATTTTAAAAATCAAACAGAAAAACAGTAAATAAAGAAATAAGACTCAGATCTATTATCATCTTTATTTTGCAAAAATTAAAAATTCTAACCCCAAAGAGAAGGACAAACATAATCTCAAAACGAAGGCGAGCCTTCTAAACATGGGTGTGGACAAGCCCACGTCGCCCTTGCTTGTCCCCTTTGCTACAGGAAGCCCGGAGCCGCCACCCGAGACCACTGTGCCCTCTCCCCAGCTGCAGCTGTCATTCCGGCAGCAGGGGGCAGCAGTGAGTAGCATCAGGAGACAAGGAACCCAGCAGAAGACAGCTGTGCGTGCTGTACTTGAGAACCTGGGCCCTTTCCCAAGCTCCAGTGCACCCCGGCGCCCATCGTGGAGACCATCTGTAAGTGTGCTGTGGGACCTTGGGAGCCGGCCAGCTCCTCGGGAAAGGAATGGCCCAAAAGAAGCCGTTACCGGATGTGAGCCCGGATGGTACACAGCTGGCAGTTTTAGCTCAGCTTGCCATCACCCTGTTTGCTTTGTTTTTTGTTTGTTTGTTAATCCTCATCTAAGGACTTTGTTTCTATTGATTCTTTTTAAAGAGAGTGAGGAGGAGGAGAGAGAGAGAAAGAGAAAGAGGGAGAGAGAAAAGAAATATTGCTATGAGAGACACACATCTATTGGTTGCCTCCTGCACATACCCCCCCCGCCTGGGGATCAAACCTGCAAACCAGGTTCATGCCCTTGACTAGGATTCAAACCTGAGACCCTTCAGTGGGTGGGCTCTCTAACCACTGAGCTACTGGCCAGGGCTGCTTTGTCTTCTGTACTCTATATAACTCCATACTGACAAAACCTTTGTTGCAGAGACATGACTGACAGGCTGCCCCGGTCACACGTAAATCCTAATAAACCCATGTCGTTTACAGCCAGTCCTCTGGGCCTTTATTTGGAATTGGTAAGCAATATGCTGAGGCCTCCTCGGACCTCGGCTCTTTGCAGAACACAGCTCCCATCTGTGGGTTGAGGCCACTTGCCGTGAGCTGTGCCTCCTGCTGCCCTGCCAGCTGTGGGCAGAATCGGGAGCCCTCTGGAGACTATCACCTCTGTGCACTGAGTGGGGAGCCGCCCACCGCCCCGGTGCTGGGATGAACCCAGCTCAGGAAGAGCCGAACTGAAGCAATAACACTGTTCGAAGATAGAAATGCAAAATAGTTAATGATAACAATCCTAGTTATAAAAAGCCAGGGCCCATCACAACTGAAACAACCAGACTGAATACAGGCTGCATGGGGCGACAAGGCTGGCAGGGGGGTTAGTAAGGGATGACCAGATGACTGAACAGCAGGCTGCTTGGGGCGACCAGACCGTCAGGGGAGCAGGGGCTCCCGAACGGCAAAAGGGCGCAGGCCCAGGCTGAGGAACCCCCACACCCTCCCCCCCCCTCCCCCCCCCCCACACACACAAAGTGCACGAAATCATGCACTGGGCCTCTGGCAGCCAATAACGATAATGTCATTTAGTAGGTGCCCTGCGTGTGGGATTTAGCAGGTCCTCCCCAGGGGCACGAGTGCTCTGTGGCTCTTCCCACTCCACAGATTAGGACAGAGGGTCACGGGAACAAGGCCACTCAGCTCAGAAGTGAGAGGTTATCAAAACCCATCAGCCTGACTCCAGAGCTGAGCACTTAACCACACTGCAGCTCCGCCAAAGAGCAGCGCCTGTGCTAAGACAGCACCTGGCTGGTGTGGCTGCTCCCATCCGTGTCTCGGGGCAATTCAGGGACCTGGGAGGCATCTGGCAGCTCAGAATCTGCTGGGTAATTAAAACATTCCCCTTTACCTGGCCTTCCCAACCCACTGAGCGAGCAGAGCATTTCCGGCCACAGGCTCCAAGAGGAGCCCTCTCCCACCCTCTGCACCTGGGCCTCAGCCCCGGAGCACTGAGGGGGCAGCTGCCGGGAGGAGACTGCAATCCCCAGCACTGGCTTCCGAGTGACAGAAGGGGGCCTCGGCCACACAGCAACCAGTCAGGGCCAACGTGAGCCTCCGGACAGGTGGAGAGACTGGGCCAGGGCCAGGCCACAGCGAGAGAGCTGGGTAAGACCAGACACTGAGAGGCTCCTCGGGCCCTGGCTTCTGAGATAAGAGGCTCTGGGCCAACTGGGACAGGAATCCAAGAGGCCGCTGGAGGCCTGGGACCCAGCCCTTGAAGATGGCATCCAGCAGAGCAAACAACTTGCAAGACCACACCTTCCCACGGTATCAGCCTCCCTCAGCCCTCGCCCTCCCTCACAAACAAGCCTGCCTCTGAAGCCCAGCCAAGGAGCACCACCAAGTGTGCTCTTCAACGCACCATTCCCACCCCTAGCAGTGGAAACAGTGCCCATGCATGTAGGTGCAAGGATCATCAGGGAAACATCCTAAAAGTCTGCAGCGAGGGGATGTGTAAACATGAGGGCATGGCTCGGTGAGGCAGCCATTCCCAGGCGGGAGAGGGGCTCACAGGGCGGAGCGGGAGGACACTCCCACACTGTTCCCAGGCAGGTCTGAGAGGGAAGAGGGCAAGAGGCCAGGATTGGGACATTCATACACGTCTCTCAGCAATCTCTTCAGCGAGCATGGTTATTTCCTTTGTGATCTCTTTTGACTGAAAACGTATATAAAGATACCAGTTAGCAAAAACGCAGACTACAAAATGGCATCTTTACCTTGACCTCAATTTTCCATTCACAGATTTTAAAAAGTATTAGAAATATAGATACAAAAACGCCAACGGCACATGTGCTTGGAAGATCAGTCTCTGCACTGGCCCCGCTGTGGGCAGTGAGCACACGTGACTCCGTGGAGCTATTTCTGGAAGGCCTGCCACGGCAGGCACCCTGCCCAGCCTACCTCAGAGACGCTGTACTCAAAGGTCAGCTTCTTCCCCTTCACACCTTCGTTGAGGGTCAGGATGAATCCGATGTAGTCGGCGTAGGCCTACCAAACAGGAGAAGGAGTGGGATGTGGAAAGGGCTGTCAGACTGCCACTCTCCTCTAGCCCAGCCAGCCCCTAGCTGCACCCGGTTACCAAAATGCTCCCAGCTGCCCCTGGCTCCCACCTGGGTAGCAGGAGCAGTAGAAAGATAATGCCAAATACCCCTCCCCTCCCCTCCATCCCACACCACTGGCAACCCAATGACACTGGGCCTCCACCAGAATTTACTGTGTGCTCACTCTTGCTGCCAGCAGTTTCTTGACACAACAACCCGTGAGCCAGACCCTATCACTGACCCCGTTCGTTCTACAGAGGAGGAAGCCAAGGCTTCAGGAGAAGTGACTTCCCAAAGTCTCCTAAGACCGAGCTCTCATTAGATGTGGAGCAGGACCAGCCAACCAAACTCCAGAGCAGAGTGGCTGAGGACTCGACCACTGAACTACACCACCGGGCTCCCTCTCCCCTGCTGACCTTCCAGATGGTTCCCCACCCGGCTGTCTGCCCTGGTGCAGATGCCTGCTCCAAGGAGAAGTGTTTTCTGCCTGCCCATGGCCAGGGCTCTCAGCACACCCACCCCCCGCGTCCCGCTGGGCACTCCTGCCCGTTGGGCCGAGGGTGGCACCCACAGGGATAAAAAAGCACTGAAGTACAGGCCCTGGAGGGGCAGTTCCTGGGAACAAGTGACTGCTCAGTCTGTGTCATCATCCCTTTGCCCCGTGCTTCCTTCTTTCCTCCTCATCTAAGCCTAAAGGACACCGGCCCCAGCTGAGTCCTGAGAACCAGCCACTCAGGGTGGAGAAGGGCTAGTCCTACGGCAGGGCCTCTTGCAGGTACGAACGGCTGCAGGTGGGAGGGAGGGACAGTGCAGGCCCGGGGAGTCCCCCACAGCAACTCTCCTGGCCCAGAGCAGGTCTGAGCCCTCCTCCTGACTATGGCCAGTGTCCACAGCTGCCTCTGCAAAGTACAAGGGTGCAAGGACAGGAAGCAGCAATGGGCAGGGTCACCCTCCACAGTCCCTGCTCAGAGGCGGGTCTGAGTCTCTTGGTGACTACCACTCAGGACATTCTTAGGAAGGTGTCTGTGTACAAAGTCTCTACAGATGCCACACCACCACCATCATCATCATCACCATCAGAGCGTAAACATCACACTTACTGCTCAGTAAGGCTCACTGCATGCCTAGCACTGACCTGGGGCTTTATGGCTTTTAAATCATTCAAGCCTCCAAAGGGCCCCATCTCATAGTAGAGGGAACCGAGGCCTGGCCAGGTCTGACAACTGGCCTAAGTCACCGGAAGAGGCAAGGGGAGTCCTGGGCTTCCAGCCCTGACCTCTCTGCCCTCAAGGCCACGCCCTCAGCTGCTGCTCTGCTTCCTGGTGAAACTCTGTCTGGCCACAAGAGGTCCACGCACCTCCCTAATGGGCCTCAGAGGGAGGCTTCCACCAGAGATCGCTCACATGCACATCGGACGAGAGAGTGGCCACATTCCCTAAGAGTGCTGGTGCCGAGAGCAGGACAGGCAGCCTTGGCCTATGGGCCAGAGAGGAAATGCTTCAGGCTCCCTGGACCTGCAGTCTGGTTCACAAATTCTCAACTCTGCCCTTGCAGTGTGGAAGCAGCCATGGACAACAGATACAGGAATGAGCATGGCTGCGCTCCAATAACACTGTATTTACAGAAACAGGCGGAGGGCCAAATTCGTCTGGCAGGCAGCGTTTGCCAACCTGTGGCCTAGACCAGTGGTCGGCAAACTCATTAGCCAGCAGAGCCAAATATCAACAGTATAATGATTGAAATTTATTTTGAGAGCCAAATTTTTTAAACTTAAACTTCTTCTAACGCCACTTCTTCAAAATAGACTCGCCCAGGCCGTGGTATTTTGTGGAAGAGCCACACTCAAGGGGCCAAAGAGCCGCACATGGCTCACGAGCCGCAGTTTGCCGACCACGGGCCTAGGCCAATGTAAGAACAGCACACTCCTCACAAGAAACCTGCCAAGCCTGCCAGAACCCCAAGCCTACCCTCTCTACAAGGGACTCTCCCCACTCCAGCTGACCAGACCAGGTAGGCACCAGCTGGAGCTGGGCCCACGGCCTTCCCTGGGAACTTGAACTTGGCTTTCTTTTTCTCAGTCCCAGTCTTTCTACAGCCTGACCATAGCCGGAGGGACTCGCTGTCACCTTCTGCAGCACAGAGAGCTGGTCTGCCCCAGAGTGCTCTCCGAGGCCTAGGTTTTCATGGAATAACCTCCTCTCCCTTTAAGACACTGGCCCCCCTACTTGCTGGTACTTGGAACCACGAATCAAGTCACACAGTCCTTCATTTAGGACCTCATGTTCGGCCAATACAGCACTCAGGGGGCGATGGTGTGTGAGAACCTGGAGCACGACTCTGTAGAGCTACTCTGGCCCCGGCCCCCAGACCTTCCCACTAACGCGTCTCTGAGCGCTGCCCAAGTCATCTCCCGTCACCTCTCTTCCTAGCTTCTAAGAGCTTGGCTCCAAGGGCGTGAGGGCCAGGAGCTCACAGCCCATCATGTCTAGAAAACCAGTGTCTTTGAAAAAGCCCACGTTTCTCCTCTGAGCTCTGAGCCTGCAGTGTAGACCCCGCGGTACCTGAGACCGCTTCCATTTCCCCATGTCCGGAACCGTGTGGATCTCCTTCTTTGGAATGATAAAGTTCTGAGTGGCTGCAGGGGTCTCCTCCGAAGAATCTTGACAAAGAAAATGAAAAAACAAGCAGATAAATAGAAACCTTCCCAACACACGCACACACACACACACACACCTTTAAACCAAGACTCCAACACCCAAACCCTAGTGTATACCAGACAGACTCCCAGCACAGAGTACTGGCTTATTAGCCAAACCCACTGGCCACCTGACTTTCCTTTCTCTGAGGAAAACAAAGTGTCAGCTGTTGAGGACGCAGTGCCAGGGGCCTGGGGATCTAAGGGATAGGGCAGGGAACATGAGATAAGAGCAAAGCAAACCTCTACCTAATTCAGAATTCAAACCAGGGCCCAGAAAATTCAAACCAGAAACTCTCTTTCTCCTCTCACCTGTCCTACAAGCCTGTTCCCAGAAGCCAAAACTGTAGTAAATTGCTACTGTAAGATGCTAAATAAAGAGCTTTGTGCCCTAACCGGTTTGGCTCAGTGGACAGAGCGTCCCCGGGTTCAATTCCCATCAAGTAAGGGGTGTGCAGGAGGCAGCTGATTGATGTTTCTCTCTCATGGATGTTTCTAATCTCTATCCCCCCCCTTCCTCTCTGTAAAAAAAAATCAATAAAAAATGTTTTTTAAAAAAAGCTTTGTGGCTCAGGCTAGTAACCTAACTACATTGTTTTTATGGGGAAATGGTACACATTCCAAATAATCAACTTGCAAATGACATTTGGGAACAGAGCCCTTCTGAGCATCGGAGGACTGCTCCCTGCAGGTGGCCGGTCCCCCTGGTTACTGCTTAGAGAGGAGAAGCTCCAGGCCAGGCCCGGTGACCGGGGGAAAGGTTGCCCTACAGGAAGCATTGCAACAAAGCACTGATGCAACACACAAGCTGTCAGGTCACAAAATCCCAAATCCCCAAAAGCAAGCCTTCAAACACAGGACTGGGACAAGCCAGGTCAGACACACTCTCTCAGCCTCGAGACTCTGCCTCTGACAAAGGGACCACCGGGGGCAGCTGGACCCCCTGAAACCTCTCGGTGTAAGATGGAAACACCCATAGGGTTATAGGTGCTCCTCAACATCCCCAGAGAGTGAATGCAGTGTCATCTACCATTTTGGAACTGTCCACGGGTCCAACCTGTACCCCCTGCGAAAAGGGTAACAGGAACCCACTCTGACATCACCGCCGTGTCCCATGCGCTGCCCACATCCTCTGGCCACTGCGGCCCCGTGAAGAAGGGGAAGTCTCCTTTTTAAGAAACAAGGGAACAGGCTCCCGGAGGCTGACTGGCCAGCAGGGCGAGGTCTGTGTAACTCCCTAAGTCCAGGTGTTCACTGAGATAAGTAGTTCGCTCTCCTTGCCCCAAAGCGTCCTACTTCACACGTGCGAGAAGGGCCACGCGCACCCAGCCATACACAGCTGACCCCTGCCTTCATCTCTTCCAGTGCACAGGTTCTCCCCCCCACCCCCCACCCCACGTCAGGGACACATCTCAGGGGAATTCTTACGGAGAATGCCTTCTGTCTCCCCATGCCATTACTTCTGAGGCAGCCTGGAGGGGGGTGGGGGAAACATTCAGCCGGAGGACCATATAAGGTCCCGGAAAGCATTTGGTCAGGCCCTGCCAAGGCATCAGGGGTGAGTTAATTAAATGTCTGACCAAATATAGCAGGCTAATCTTAAGCTGATAATTTTGTTATAAACAGCCAATATAGCCCTAGGCAGAAAAAAGGTTCCCCACCCCTGTTCTAAGGGCACACGCACGGAAGTTTTGTGTTAAAGTAAATGTCTGGTTTCCAGTGCCCCGGTCTTTTCGGAGGCGGGGTGTGTGCGTGTGTGTAGGGGAAGGACTCTTTTGATCTTCAAAACTTCTGAGACCTTCCCAGGGATCACAGAACGTAAGACAGAGTGGAAGGAATAGCAAATGCTTCGCAAACACTAGCTGTGTGTTTGGCTAACCTATGTGCTCCTGACATAACTTTAAAAGTCTTCTTAGCTCCAGGTGGGGGTGAGGGGGTGTCCGCAGCCCCCACCTCGTTCTCCAAGATGCGGGTTTGTATCAGATCCTTTCCCTAGCACCTCCCCCGCCCACCCACCCCCGTACTGGAGAGGAACTTAAAAGATGCCGCGGGGTAAATAAAAGTTACAGGCGGTGATGCCAGGGAGAGACTCATCTCCTTGCACAACCAGCCTTCTTAAATTAGTGGTTTAGACGACCGAGAGCAGCTTCTCTTAAATTCTCAGCCACCGAAACTCCAGAGGCCGGCCTCGGGGGGGGGGGGGGGGGGGGGGGCCCGAGGAGGAGGCTGGGGATGGGGTCCAGCAGGCCCAGCCCCGGACACCCCCCACCCTCCCCGCCGCCGGGCAGCCCCGGTCCTCGGCGTCTCCCCCGCCGGATCCGGGCTGACCTCGGCACGAGCAGCGCGGGCGTGGAAAAGGCCTCCGCTTCGGGCCAAGGCCTTGCCCACCTGACCCTCCGGCGGCCCGGGCTCCCCAAGTCCAGGGGTGGCGCCCCAACCACCAGCCTCCGCCGCAGCCCTGGGTCCTGTTCCTCCTTCCAGGGCCCCCAACGCTCCTCCTCCGGGGGCCGCCCTCTCTGGTCCCCGCAGGTCCTCCATCTCCCGACCCTCCCGCGCCGAGCCCAGCACCACACCCCTTCCCCGCCCCCCCCCCGGCACCGCCCCCGCGCCCCCACCGCGGCCCGGCCCGCCGGCGCATCCTACCTGGCGGCGCCTGCCGCTCGCCCTCGGCCATCTTCCTCCCGCCAGGAGCCGGCCCCGACGCCCGCAGCCCCGCACCTTCCACCCCCGCGCTCAGGGCCTCTGGAAATGAACGCCGGCCGGCTATACCCGAGAGCCGAGACTTAAAGTCACCCCAGTGAAGACAAGCGCCATGTCGGTGCGGGGCACTCAGGGAGCATGCCCAGCAACGGCCGGCTCCGGCGGCGGCGCGGCCCGGGCGGCGGCGGCCATGTTGGTGCGGGGCGCCCGGCGCATGCGCACCAACGCCCGGCGCATGCGCACCAACGGCCAGCGCGACGGCGGCCCGCGGTCCGGGGAGCGCGGCGGCCATGCTTTTGCGGGGCGAGCGGAGGGCGTTGCGGCGGCCACGCTTTTGCGGGGCGGCCCCCACCTGTCATCTTCGTGCGTGGCTCTGGCCCTGCCCCGACGGACTTTAGAAGACACTGCCCGTCAACAGGGGTGTGTTCTCCTGCCACTCGGGGAGCAGCGCTCCAGGACACCAAGCGCCAAGCGGGCTGAGACGGGGACACGCTGCCCCCAAAAGACCGGACGGCACCTGGGGTCCGGAGGGAGCAGGCGGGACGGCGGCCCCTCTTCCCGGGTCCAGGCGTCCCCCCACCCCCGCCGCCTGCAGACCGCGCCCCCGCCCCGCCCCGGCCCGGCCCCGCCCCGCGCCCGCGTCTAGCCTCCGGGGCTCGGAACTGGCCGGTGACCGCCTCGAGCCCTCCTCCCCGCCGCCTGCCGCCACCCGCCCGGCCGGGGGGTGGGCGCGAGGCCGCCTGGACCGCTGGCGGCGGCGACACGGCGACCTTGGCCCGGAGGCCGCAGCGGGACCGCCAATCGCGGCGGCGGCGGCGCGGACTTTGCCCGGCCGGGAGCGGGCGGACTGAGCCCGCGGGGCGGCCGCCGAGATGTTGGCATTCGCGGTCAGGACGGCGGTGAGTGCGGCCGGAGCGGCCTGGCGGGCCCTGGACGGCGCGGGCGGGCGGGCGGGCCACGGGCTGCTGTCAGGGCCACAGGCTGTCAGCGGCCCCCTGTCCAGCCTTGCGCGCTGCTAGCTGCTGGGGTGGGATCGGCAGGTGGGCTTGCGTGTTTGGCAGAGAAAGAGACTGAGGTTCAAGGTCAGAGGCCGGATCGAACCCACGTCCTGTAGCTCTAAATGTCAACGGCCTGGAAAAGTCAGTGGCACCCGGCTCTGCTCCGGGCAGCGCCCGCACCCTTAGCCCTGGGGCCCTGGAGCAGGCTGGCAGCAGCCTCTGCCACCCACGGAGCCTCTGCCCAGGCCAGAGCCACTTCTCCAACCCCATCCAGTTGGGCAGCTTCCTTGCACTTATCAAATGGTCCCTGAGGGGGTTGTGTAGCCAGAGAAACTCACGTGGAGGCATCAAACTGGGCTGCCCAGAAAGTGCTGAGAACTGGCAGGAGGTGGCAGGTGGTAGCCCCAATGCCCTCCCTCTCCACCAGGCCCTCCCCGGACCTGTACACACACACACACACACACACACACACACACACACACACCAATCCTCCCCAGCTGGCAGCCTGGAGCAAGAAGCGCCGTGCCCTGATTTGGGTTCCTGTCCTCTCTGATCCAAGCCTATCTTTGTTTGCATCTCCCTCTGTCTGTGCCAAGAAGAGCGCTCAGTCAGACATGCCAGGCTCTGAGGACTGACAGTCCCCGGCCCGCTTCTGGCCTCCAGGCTCTTCCAGGATCCCAAGGCTCCACCTCACTCCTGCCACTTGCCACCTGAGCTGTGTCCCCATCTCACAAACAGCCTCGGGGTCACCCTCCTGGACCTGCCGGGAGACCTGATCACTTTACCGCCGGAGAATCTGAGGCGAGGAGAGACCTGGCGACTCAGATCTCGTCTAATCCCAAAGCCAGTGTCCTCTGGTTTATTTTTAATGCCTGAAGTGCCCCACTCTTTTTTAAAAAAAATATATTTTATTGATTTTTTTACAGAGAGGAAGGGAGAGGGATAGAGAGCTAGACACATCGATGAGAGAGAAACATCAATCAGCTGCCTCCTGCACACCCCCTACTGGGGATGTGCCCGCAACCAAGGCACATGCCCTTGACCGGAATCGAACCTGGGACCTTTCAGTTCACAGACCGATGCTCTATCCACTGAGCCAAACCGGTTTCGGCAGTCCCCCACTCCTGACCCCCCGCTGAAGTAGCAGCAACCCGAGAGAACCAGGCTTTGGGGGGAGGGTGGCCCCAAAGGGCTGCGGCAGTTCTGGGGGAAACGGGATGGGCAGGCTCTAGTGTCCGAGGTCCACTCTGGTCTTTCCCGGGTCTGCTCTCCTGTGCCAGCCGCTTTCAGGGCTGTGGTCTACTTAGCAGCCCGGCAGTTTCTGCCCTCCAGCCAAGGTTTCCTTCATCAAACAGACCTCCCGATTCTAGCAGGTGGATGTTTTCATACCTCTTGGCCCGTCTCCCTGGCTCTGGGCCCATCCAGAGAAGAAAGGAGGAAGTCTTCCAGGATTACTCCTCTCTAGTGCCCACCCCAGCCCTCTCGCCTGCTCCCCATCCCCCCACTTCTGGAAGCCAGGGCTCCTGCCATAGCCACAATCCCAGATGCCACCACAGCCACCATAGCCATCGCCACTGACACCTCTGCCTCCCCCCCACCCCCCTGAATCTTGGCTCTTGTCTTCTCTTTCCAGCCCAGGCAAGTGGCTGCCTCTTGCTAGGTTCTGCTCGCCCACTTGGTAGCACAGTTAGGCTTAGGCATCCAGCCCAAGGCAGACAGACAGGGCTCAGAACCTCAGTCCTGCCATGGAGGACGGGCAGCAGAATGAGAAGGTACGGAACAGAGTCTCTGCCTACTGCCTGCCTACTGCCGCCAATAGCCCAGACCCTCCCGTTCTCTCTCTCTCTCTCTCTGCCGGACTCTCTCTCTGCCAACTCTCACCCTCCTTGCCAGGCCACTCAGCTCTTTCTTGCTCCAGTGCTGCCCCCATGCCGCCTCCATCCCATCCCACAGACAAGAAAAAAACCTGTGGCTTCCCCCTCATCCAGAGCTGCTGTAATCCTCTGGCTCTCTCTGATTTTTTCTTCCTCCTCCTGTTTCTCAACCTGGCAAGGGTGGGAGAAAAGGAGGCGGGAGCTCGGGGAGGGGGCAGGCACCTCCCTACTGGCTGGTGCCTGGTCCCAGAGCGAGAAAGGCGGGGCCGTGCACTCAGACAGGTGAGAGGGCCCTCTGACCTCCGCAGGTGCCACTCCCCTGACTCGGTTCCCCTGAGCCTGGGCAAGATCCGTGGCCACGCCCCGCCCTCCCCTGCCCATACCTGCGCCTCCAAGCCCCAGAGAGATGGAAACGCCTATAGCTCGAGGGCTGGCACCACCCAAGAGGCTGTCTCTGGTCCCGGAGATGGCACATAAGTGCCCAGGACTGCAGCCTGGGATCACCAGGGCCCCAGCGCCGGAGGGAGGATGAGCAGGATGTTCTGCTGCCTGCAGGTGAAGCCCCTGGGCTTCCTCAAGCCCTCCTCGCTGTCGAAGGTTGCCAGCCGCTTCAAGGCGCACCAGGAGTCGCTGCCCCGGCTGCCCGTGCCCCCGCTGCAGCAGACCCTGGACCACTACCTGAAGACGCTGCAGCCCATCGTGAGCGAGGAGGAATGGGCCCACACCAAGCAGCTGGTGGAGGAGTTCCAGGCTGCAGGGGGCGTCGGAGAGCGCCTGCAGAAGGGGCTGGAGCGCAGGGCCAAGAAGATGGAGAACTGGGTGAGTAGGAACTGCGGGTACACGGAACCCCCAACTCCCACCTGGGCTAAAGGGAACAGGGGCCCCCAGAGGGTCATTGTGAGAGTCCCGCAGTGAGGCCTGCCCTGCTGCACACAGAATCTTCCAACACGGCCGCTCTGGCATTCACTGGCGCCAGCTCCATGGGAACTTACTCTGTGCCTGGCACTAGGCAGAGACTGGATGAGCTAGAAAGTCACCGTTGATGGCCTCAAGGAGCTGGCATTCAAGTAGCAAGGGGAGAGAGGCGATCAAACAAGACACCTGAGTGGTCAAGGTCATTTCTGTAGAAATGGAAAAGGGTGATTGTGCCCTGGCTGGTACGCTCAGGTGGTTGAGCATTGCACCAAGAGGTCGCCGGTTCTATTCCCAGTTCTCTCTCTCTCTTCTTCTCTCTCAAATCGATGAAAACACTTTTTTTTTTTAAGGGTGATGAGAAGGAGGGGTGAAGAATGGAGGCGTCTTCATTCTGAGTGGTCAGGGAAGGCAGGGAGGAGGTGGTGTTGGGTCTGAGACGGTCGGAGCAGCACCAGCAGAGGCAGCAAGCCTGGTGAACCCAGGAGCAGACAGAGGTGGAGTGGAGTGCCAGGGCAGGAGGGGGAGCTGCAGGCAGAAGGAACTTGGACTTGAGCTCAGTGGGAAGAAGCTGCAAGCTGGCTTCAAGCAGGGGTTGTGTTCAGTGACGGATTGCTCTGGCCCGTGTCAGTCGGTCACGCATGTGCGTTCACCTCGTGGGAGTGTGTGTGCATTCGCTCCGTGCACTTTCCTGTGCGCATCTTAGACCTTAACCCAGAGTTCAACATGACCGCCCTGGCCGCTGGGAGGGAAGAGTGGGAGCAGGAGGCGGTGGGAAGGCGGTGCCGTCACCCGTGGGAGATGCTGGCAGGGAGAGGGGGGAGGTCAGTAGGCCCAGAGTATGTCTGGGAGCCAGTGGTACTTGGTGATTGGGCTGCTGGGAGGGGGACAGTCCTGACCTAAAGCACTCTGAGGGCCGGGGGAGAGGAGGACGTCCGGAGAAAGGGGAGGTGAGGGAGGGAGCTACAGAAAGCCCCGTGGAGGAGGTGCCCTGAGGGGCTGCACAGAGGAGGCAGGCCGGGGGTGGCTGTCCTGACCTGGGCAGCTCAGGGCCCTGGACTCCGGAATCGGGAGCTGAGAGTCTGGGGCCCAGCAGCTCGGAACTCCTTTCCACCCGCAGTTCCTCCAGGTGCCCGGCGTTCTGTGCACCTGCGCACGGCACGCCCCTCGCCCCTTGCCAAGGGCCCAAGGCCCATGGCCCGGCGCCACAGCTTCCCGGGGGGTCTGTAAAGAGGCACGTCCTGCCCACTGCTCCCCGGGGGGTGAGGAAGCAGGGCGGGGGCGGTCTCCGGGCGGAGAGGCGCCTTGGGCAGGCCTGGAAGGGACGCAGGCGGACAGGTTGCAGTCAAGCACATAAGGCTCAGGGGGACCGTCCCGGGAGCTGCAGGGCCCGTGACGGAGCCTTCCATGGCCGCAGTGGGCCCCGAGGGACAGTGCTGCCCACGGCACCGCCCACGCTCCGTCATGTGCATCGGTGTGACCTCCTGGCTCCCCAGATGGCCCGCCCAGAGATCCAAGAAGTGTCCACTGCCCCATCCGACACCAACAAAACTCAGGATCTCCAGTTTGGCATTGAACCCGGGGCCTCCGCTTTCCTGGAAAATGCCCAATGGGGATGAGCAAAAACTCATTCATTGGACTTCCTTTTTCTATATTTCTATTCTATCTATCAGGAATACATTTTTATTTCAAATAGTAAAAATCATTGACCAAAATTTATAAGATAAAGAAACATGATTCAACATGTTCAGTGGTTGAGTGTCAACCTATGAACCAGGAAGTCATGGTTCAATTCCTGGTCAGGGCCCATGCCTGGATTACAGGCTCCATTCCCAGGGTGGGGCGTATAGGAGGCCACCGATCAATCATCCTCTCCCATCATTGATGTTTCTCTCTCTCCCTCCCTCTCTCTCTCTCTCCCTTCCTCTCTGAAATCAATAAAAATATTTTTTTTTAAAAAGGGAAAGAAACATGATTCACACTTCTTCCTCTTTCCCCCGCCCCAGGTTTCCTGCCAGCCTTTCCCCCACATCTTTCCTTGGCCGGTGGGACACTGCTGGTGGGGGTAGGGGGTTGGGGGTTCTGGGTCTGAGTATTCGCTTTAAGATCTGTGCTCACAGAGGGGACAGAGGGTCCCCTTGCCCTGGGGGAAGGGTCACCCAGTCCCCACCACCCCTCCTGACAGGCTCTGGTCCTTTCCCCAGCTGTCCGAGTGGTGGCTCAAGACGGCCTACCTCCAGTACCGCCAGCCCCTGGTCATCTACTCCAGCCCCGGCCTCGTGCTGCCCAGGCAGGACTTTGTGGACCTGCAGGGACAGCTCCGGTGAGTGGCTGAGGCTGGGGCAGGGCCAGCAGGGGCCAGGGCCCAAGGACCACTTCCTCCAGGAGGGTGGAGGGGCCCCAGTCCTGCTCATTATCTTTCACCTCCACGAACAGCTTTATGAAGTAAGGGGTGTCATTCCTATTTTACAGATGGGGAAACTGAGGCTCAGAGCAGGGAGGGGCCTACCCAAGATCACCTTTCAGTGTTGGCTGAGCGGGGGCAGGCAGCAGGGTCTTCCCAGCTCCAAAGCTTCATAGCTTTGCACTGAGTCCTCCCCACCCCCAATCCCCAAACCTGGGGCCACCCCCACCTCCTTTCCTCTCGCCTCTGGCCACGGGACGACCTTTGTACACAGTCCCCTTTTCCACATTCGGCCATGTCACTTGTCCTGGCCTCCGTTCCCGTCCTACCGGAGATAAAAATACCAGGGACAAGCATCGCCGCCCAAGCACCGGCCACGGCGGCCGCCACCTGCTTCTCTTAAAGGCGCCAGGGCACCCTGGGCCGGGCTGGGGTTCAGGCAGGAACCCAGATGGCGGTCCCCATGTAGGGGCCAGGGGCAGCCGGCGCCGGGCGTGGTTGTGTAGCCCACAGAGCTGGGGAGGAAGGCCAGGGAGAGGCGGCCTGGGAGAGACAGGGGCCCAGGAACAGGTGGAGGCCGAGGGCAGGGGACACCTCGAACCACTGCCCTCCCATTCACACTCCCCCTCCCCTGGTCCCGGTCCCTCTGAGAGAAGGGTGTCCTCCTGCCAGACTCCCGACTGTGATTTGGGCTCGGGCCCTATGGGTGGAACCAGCTGCCCTGACCCATGACTTCCGCACCTGAATCTTGCCAGCACGTGCCAGCATTTCTCCCTGCGCCCTGTGCCCTCTGCAACTCCCTCTGGGCTCAGAAGGGTGAGCTGGGACTTGAACTCAGACCCACTCCTTCACGTTCTGCAAGCCCTAGGCGAGGAGTGAAGCAATCGGTGGCTCCCTTCACCCCACAGGCGTCCCTGGCCCGGGGCTGTCCTCAGGGTGTCCACACCTCCGCTGATCTCTAATTGTTCCCTCTAGGTTTGCTGCCAAATTCATCGAGGGTGTGCTGGACTTCAAGGCCATGGTTGACAAGTGAGCAGTCCGGCCCGCCCCTACCCTGCCTGCCCATTGACACAGTCACTCCAGCTTGACCCAAGCCCTGGTGCTGGGCAGCCAGAGCTCAGCTGCTTTCACTTCCTGTTGGCCCAGCCTGGGGATTGGGATGCCTCGTCCTGCTCCAGCTGCCGGGACTTCCTCCTGGTGCCCCTGTCCCCAGAGGCCCCTGCAGCGGCGTTCCAGCCAAACAGGCCCCGGAGGCCGTCTCCCCTTGGCAATCTGAAGCCCGGAGCAGAGGGGAGTTCCAGGGTGACTCATGGCGGGCCTCCTGCCCCAGCCCAGCTCCAGGCCCCGCGTGGGCTCAGGGGAAGTAGGGACATGAGGCGGGCAGACGGCCACTGCTGTCAACCCTGACTCAGCTCTGCCAGCCCCCTCCCCCCTGCCGGCGGGCCCAGCAGCTCCCTTCTCCCTTCTCCCTGTCCCCCTGCCCGCAGTGAGACCCTCCCGGTGGAGTACCTGGGCGGGAAGCCGCTGTGCATGAACCAGTACTATCAGATCCTGTCCTCCTGCCGCGTGCCAGGCCCCAAGCAGGACTCGGTCATCAACTTCAGCAAGACCAAGAAGCCGCCCCTGCACATCACCGTGGTGCACAACTACCAGGTGGGGGGCCCACACAAGCCCCTGTGCCCCAGGAACAGGGTGCTCTGGGCATCTCTACCGGGTGCCCGGCTAGGCCCCAGCCTCCGGGATGCCAAGAGGGGCCTTGGCCTGCCCCGCTGGGGAGAACAATGCAGGGTCGTCCTCCTCCCCCCCTTGGCCTGACCCCGTCCCCTCAGCTGGGCCCGGGACAGCACTCATGCGGCCTCTGGGTGCCAGGGCAGGAGGCGGCGGCGGGTGTGTGTGTGTGTGTGTGTGTGTGTGTGTGTGTGTGTGTGACGGACGTGACTGCGGGGCCTGAGGTGGTCACCGGCCCTCCCCGCCTGCCCGGACAGTTCTTTGAGCTGGACGTGTACCACAGCGACGGGACGCCCCTCACTGCCGACCAGCTCTTCGTGCAGCTGGAGAAGATCTGGAACTCGTCGCTGCAGACCAACAAAGAGCCCGTGGGCATCCTCACCTCCAACCACCGCAACTCCTGGGCCAAGGCCTACAACACCCTCATCAAAGGTGCCCACGGGGGCGGGGCCAGGCCACATCCCGCTCTGCCCTCCCCGGCCCAGGTGCACGCTCCTCGCTGAGCCTCTCCCCGGAGCAGGTGCTCCCAGCTCAGCTCGGGGCACAGCTGGGGCCAATGTGTTTCCCCCATGTAGCAGGTGGGATGGGCCTGCCCCTGGCTGAGGAGCCCTCCTCTGCCGCCACAGGCCCCCGAACCCGTGCTGAGCCAGGGACTTGGGGGGCCTGCCGTTTCTACAGTGGGCCGGGCCCTGGGCGCGCCTCACAGAGGCTGCGGGGCTTCAGCCCTGTGAGTGGGAACCTCTGAAGCCCGTCCCAGCCCTCGGGAACGTTCTGGGGGCCCGACCGCCCCAGGCCTGACACCCCATTTCTGTGCCCCTCCCGCCATGCCCCTGCAGACAAGGTGAACCGGGAGTCAGTGCGCTCCATCCAGAAGAGCATCTTCACCGTGTGCCTCGACGCCGTCATTCCCCGGGTCTCGGAGGACATGTACCGCAGCCAGGTGGCCGGCCAGATGCTGCACGGCGGCGGCAGCAAGCTCAACAGCGGCAACCGCTGGTTCGACAAGACGCTGCAGGTGAGGCCGCAGGGCCTGCTCCCACCGGACAGACCCTCACCTGGTCCCCCGCGGCTCGGGACTTCCTGTCCCCCGGCGTCCTGGCCCCCGGCTTGTAAACAGACGGAAGCCATCAGGTGGACGCGGCTGTAATTACCCAGCAGTCAGCCTGTCATTACTGGGCCGGGCCCAGAAACTGCTGTCACCCCAACACACCCCTCAGCACATCAGAGGCCGGCCGAGGTGGTTTGGCCATGCCTTTCCCTCTCTGCAGCTGTAACACGGGCTGTGGTAGGACTCCCAGGTAGAATAGAAGCAGGGGGTGCGTGGTGTGGCCTAGGATGGGTCCAGGGACCCCGTGGGTGTCAGCTCCTGTTAATGACTGTAATCAGTCAGCGGAACTCTGAGGGACCAGCCAGAGTGGCTGCAGGGACGGGTAACAGGTCCCCACCCCCCGCAGTTCATCGTAGCAGAAGATGGCTCCTGTGGGCTCATCTATGAGCACGCGGCCGCAGAGGGGCCGCCCATCATCTCCCTCGTGGACCACGTCATCGAGTACACGTGAGTGTGGCCCCCTCACCCCCATTTCCCCAGTCCTGTGAGGGTGACGCGCAGGCGAGACTGGCTGGGGATGGCGTTTTCCCTGTGCCCGGGCATCTGCCTCTTCAAGAGGAGCCAGGAAGCCGCATGGGCTTAGAGCCAGACAAACCAGGGTTTGCTCTGCCCTTCCCCGCTGCGTGACCTTGGACCAGTCCCGTCCCCGCCAGGCCTCCTTCCTTTGGCCGCCTGAGAGCTGGGGGACTTCAGAATAACTCCCAGGCGTCTCCCTGGGCTGCCCCTCCAGCTTCAGGGACCCATCTGCCCACCCGACCCCAAGGCGGGCCCCGGTGCCCCCGCACCAGCATGAGCCCAGCCCGTGTCTGTGCAGGAAGAAGGCCGAGGTCGTGCGGTCCCCCATGGTACCCCTGCCCATGCCCAAGAAGCTGCGGTTCAACATCACCCCCGAGATCAAGAATGACATCGAGAAGGCCAAGCAGAACCTGAGCATGTGAGCCCGGGCGCTGGGGCCAGGCCCTCAGTCTGGCCGGCTTGTGTGAGGCGCCCCCGAACCCGGCTGGGTCTGAGCCTCTCCCCGGGTGGCAGGGTGGCAGGTGCCCGCCCCTCACTGCCTCGTCCCCACCCCCAGCATGATCCAGGACCTGGACATGGTCGTGACCGTGTTCCACCACTTCGGCAAGGACTTCCCCAAGTCGGCGAAGCTGAGCCCAGACGCCTTCATCCAGATGGCGCTGCAGCTGGCCTACTTCCGGTGAGCCTGCCCGCCGCCCGCCCACCCGCCGCCTGCCCGGAAGGAGGCGGAGCCCCGGGCGGAGGCGGCCTGTGCTCACCCCGGCTCCCACGCAGGATCTACGGGCAGGCGTGCGCCACGTACGAGAGCGCCTCCCTGCGCATGTTCCACCTGGGCCGCACGGACACCATCCGCTCAGCGTCCACGGATTCGCTGGCCTTTGTCAAAGCTATGGATGACTCCAGCGTGCCGGTGAGAGGAGAGGCTCAGGGTGAGGGTGGGTGAGCTGGGCTTGGCCATCTCCCTCCCTGTCACTCTGTCAGGCAGAGCCATGGATTTAGCTCTGAGCTTCCTAGCAGCCTAAGAGAAAAGGGAACTTTTCGTTCACTCATCAGCAGTGAGCATCTGCCCTGGAATGGCGGTAGCTCTACTTCCTCTTCGCAGAGTGCAGTGCTGGTGGGAGAGGGAGTGGGCCGAGGTGGGCGGCAGGAGCAGGGAAGGCGCAGGGCCTCAGCTCCCTCTCCCCTCGCCCGCAGGAGCCCCAGAAGGTGGAGCTGCTGCGGAAGGCCGTGAACGCCCACCGCGCCTACACAGACCGGGTGAGGGAGCCCTGTCCGTTTGCTAGACCTCTGGCATCTCCCACGTCTGTCTGGCCGTCCGTCTGTTCCTGCAGCAAAGAGCTGCTCATCCTTAGCTTGACGACCCCTCCCCTGCGCCCTGTACATCCCCATTTTAAAGTTGGAGAAACTGAGGCTGGGCAGTGACTGCCCAGGCCCCCGGTTCCAGGTGGGCTTGTGGGTCTTGTGTCAGAGAGCCAGGACGCCGAGGCTCCACACAGCGGGCCATGTGCCAGCTCAGGCTGCTGCTGGCAGCGGGAGGCCGGATTCCCAGCCTGACCCTGCCTCTGAGCGCCTGTGTGCCAGGCTCTGCCCTTGTTACACACAGATGTCCATTTAGGTCTCAGCCACCCTACAAGGGAGGTCAGTGACCGCCCCCGATCCACAGACGAACACACTGAGGTTCCAAACGTCTATGTGCCAAGGTCCCCCAGCCGGGATGGGCTAAGCCACCAGCTCCAGGCCTGTGCTCCTAAATCCTACAGTCCTGCCTCCCTGGGCCTCAGTTTCCCCACCTCTGAAGTGAGGACTTTCCTGCCTGGCTGCTCCGGTCTCATGGTCTGAGGGGCCAGTGGAGGGAAGAGGCGTTGCTGCCACAGGCTTCTGCGGGGGGCAGCAGCACCCTAAGTCCCGCAGCCCCCCCTCCTGACCGCACCCCCTCTGCAGGCCATCCGGGGGGAGGCCTTCGACCGGCACCTGCTGGGCCTGAAGCTGCAGGCCATCGAGGACCTGGTGAGCATGCCCGACATCTTCATGGACACCTCCTACGCCATCGCCATGCACTTCAACCTCTCCACCAGCCAGGTGGGCGCTGCCCCTGCCCTGGGTGCCCCGGGTGGGGGGAACAGGACCTCCGGAGCTGGAGCAGAAAGCTGCACTGACCAGAGCCGAGCTCTAGGACATGGTCAGACCTCGGTGGAGGCGTGGCCCAGGCCACCGGAGGCCACTGGGAAGAGCTGAGTTCTGGCAGAGGGTCTGGGTCAGGGGCTTCACTACAGCTCAGGCTGAGGAGGTGGGGACCCCCCAGGGGAGAATCACTCATTCGTTCACTAGTCAGACACGAGGGAACACGTGATCCATGCCAGCCCGTACTGGGCACTGAGGCCCAGAGTGACCGCCCCAGCCCTGCCCCGGGGCTCTCCGTGTAGGCTGGCAGCACAGGAAGTGCTGGGGTCAGGAAGTCCCCAGGAATGGAGAGGAGGCTCCATGAGGGTGAACCATAACTGCATGCGGCGGGCAGAGGGAGGAGTCGCCTGTCTGATGGAGAAGAGAGGGTTCCCGGGAGAGCACACAGGAGCAGAGTCGCGAGGAGGCAGCTGGTGCCTGAGGAGCTGGAAGGGGCCTGGGGAGGTAGAGCGAGTGCCTGAGTCCTGTGCCCCCCAGGTCCCCTCCAAGACAGACTGCGTCATGTTCTTCGGGCCGGTGGTCCCCGACGGCTACGGCGTCTGCTACAACCCCATGGAGTCGCACATCAACTTCTCGGTGTCGGCCTACAACAGCTGCGCCGAGACCAACGCCGCCCGCATGGCGCACTACCTGGAGAAGGCGCTCCTGGACATGCGCGAGCTGCTGCAGAGCCACCCGCGGGCCAAGCTCTGAGCCGCGCTCCGCCGGCCGCCACAGCCAACCGCTTCCGATGGGCCACCACCAGCTCCCCTGTCCCTCCCCCGGGCCTCCGATCTGACCAAGCCAGGGCCGACCCCCCAGGGCCTGCAGGCCACGCCAACTGCCTTCCCGGGCCCCCCAGCGCCATGGACTGCTCAGAGCTGAGCAGCCGGAGGCCCGGGCGCCCCACGCATCGCCCCGAGCAGCCTTCCTCTGGGAAAGGGAGTCCCCTCCATCCCCACCAGCGGGACTGGGAAGTCCTCGGAGAGTTCAGCTCCGGCCAGTCCTGTCCTCGGGGCTGATCCGTACTCCAATCCGCAAACGCCCAACGGCCTCAAGACAGGACTCTGGAATGGGACTCCAGCCTCCCCAAGGCCGAGGCCAGGGTGCGAGGCGGACTGGGGACGGGCCGTCTGCCGCAGGACTGCCCTGCTCTTGTGAGAACATGGCTCAAGAGCCCCAGCGCCCTCGCGCCCGCGCCGATTCCTGAACCACGTTCCTGGCGGTATGAGCACCATGCCAGGTAACCAATAAAGGAAAAGTGTCTTGGTGAAGAGGCATTCCAGCTGCGAGGCAGGCCGGTGGGGGCAGCTGGCCTGCTCCCGGCTCCCCTGCCTGGGAGCTTGTGGCCAAGCAGACAGTGGCCCCAAGGGCTCCGAGGAGCCGAGAGGTGTCCTCAGACCCCGTTCTCAGACAGCTCCCCCTACCCGGTACCACGGGCTACACGGATGGGCACGGTTCTCCCAGGGGCAGTAGGACCCTGTGGGCCCGGGTCTGGGGGGCCAGGCGTGGCTGCCACCCGGGCTAAGGCCTCACCCTGCAGCCTCCACGGAACCCTACAGGAGTGACGCTCCAGATCACATGACCACCTGATCAGAATCCTACCCCCGCCTGTCCGCACCCCCAGGCACCTGGCAGAAGCTGGGTGTCATGCCAACGTCAGTGCCCACTCCAGGGGACACCCTGGCCCTGAGGCACGTGCCAGCCAGAGCAGATGCCGGGGTGCGGGTGGGAGAGCTCAGCGAGCCCGAGGGTGCTGGCCTGGCTGACCGGAGACAGTCACGTGAGCTGATCCTGTGGTGGTCTCCTTTTCTCAGATGAGGAAACAGGCTGAGAGGTTAGTCACCAGGCAGCTAAAACACAGAGTCCCAGGAGCCATCCTTCAGGTCAGGGTATGGGAGCCCCGGTAGCCAAGCCCGCAGGCCCATGTCACACCCGCCCAGGTGACCAGGCAGGGTGAAGGGGAGGCCATGGTGGGCATGGAGGCCTGGAAGGCACAGAGGTGTTGTCTGGACGGGGGCACTGACCTGTTGGGCCTGCTGGGTCCTACGGAGTTCCCCGCAGCCACGAGGTGGGACTCTGCACCCTCCCTCCAAGGCGGTGAGAGGGTGTGCCACTGCCCGAAGTCCCGGCACCAAGAGGCGGGACCCACACAAGGGGGGGGGGGCCTGGGCCTGGTCCCCCCCAGCAAGGCCACAGGGTGGAGTGATGCCAGAAGGGGGTAGGGGACATGAATGCCCGTTCCTGGGCCAGAGTGGGAGACCAGGGAAGACCATGACAACACACAGGCTGCTGTCCTCTGTACAGGGGGGTGTGGTAGTACAGGGGAGTCCCAGGAAGCGGAGGCCCACAGCAGGCGGAGTGAGAGTTGTGGGAGCACTAGGTGGGCTGCGGGGGAGAGGGCAGGCCACGGGCATGGCGCAAACACCAGGAACTCCCAAACTCGTTCTAAGACCCACACGGGGCTGAAGAGAAGGCAGGTTTCCCCAAACTCTCCTCCGGAAGTGAGGGCATGCCCTGGCACTGGTGTTACCGGCTCACGCAACTCCTCAGAACCGGAAGTCCCCGGGGAAAGCCAGCTGGCACCTAACAAACCATCAGTGTGAGAGGGACGCCTAGAGGGCCCTGGTGGCATGGGGGGGGAGGGGGGTGGTGGAGGGAAACGAATACATCGTCATTCCTCCCGAGGATGTGACTGTCACTCACTCTGGGGAGTGCTGGGTGTGGGCCAGGCCGGATGCAGGGAGGGATATTGGGGAGATGGCACACCTGTGGGGCTCTTACTCCAGTCTCAACGTTACGCCAGGGGGCACTTGGGGCATGGGGTAAAACTCCCAGTGACCGCATCGCGCGTGAACCCCAGAACGTGCTGCTGGGTCTCGCCATCCGCTTGGGTCCACGGGACCGCTGACCTGCCAGAGCCGCGATAAGCTCAGCCAGCGGAGCCGGAGAATTCAGTCAGTGGCCCAGAGGGGCCAGGACAAGACCCGATGCCCATGACACAGGTGAAGAACTTGGGTTTTTTTGTGTGAAAAAGAGCTGTTCTAAAGAATATATTTTGGGCAATACATTACTTGAAATGTGCATATGTGATAAACAAGTGAATTAAAGATCACTGGCTCTTACCTAGATCCCCCTACGTCTGTCTGTCCAGGTGGCCTGAGCTTGACTTTGGCTGTTCGTGGGGAGAGTCCAGAGGCCGGAAGCGAGGGCAGGCCTGCAAGGGGGTGAGGGCTGGGCAGCGGGAGCCACACAGGCCACGTTAGAAACGAGTGCTTTATCAGAGGGTGGGCATTTGGGGAGATGCCAGGGCTTGACCGTGGGGAGCTGTGCAGCCTCCAGGCCGACTGGGCTGGCGTGAGACTTGGTGACCAACCGGAAGTTGGGGGGGATGTGGGTGCCCGCTGAGGTGAAAGCAGGGAGCGGCTGGGGCTCGGGGACGTCCAGGCCTCACCAGCCCTTCCTCCCTCGTGCAGTTTACTTTCCCTTCAGCTGAACCTACCTGCTGAGCTCAGCCTGTGTTTCAGCGACTGGACTTTTCCATTTTGATTCACTTAAGTCTTCCAGGTTCACCTTAGGTTCTCGTTCCCCACAGACATTTTCAAGTTTGTCTTTTTTTTCTTTAAAAACATAACCTTTACAGCTCGTGGCTGACCATTCCAGCACGAGGTATTGGCAGGTGTTTCCCGGACCCGTTTCCTGGTTCTCCCTCACGGCGCCGTGTCCTCTGGGCCAGCTTTACTACATAGTGTTCACTGGAGCTTAAAACTGTCCATACGAGTGACTGCAGTCTCGGATGGAGGTTCCTTCCTCCAGAGATCAGCTTGCTCCAGCCTCCTATCGGGTAAGGTCTCGCTTACTGAACGTCAAGGCTCTGTGGACCACAGGGGCCCTGCCCCACAGCCTTGCAGCTCGTGTGGGGACGCAATTCTTTCTGACCCCTTCACTCCAGGGGGCAGCCGTTCTGCATCTCAGCTATGAATCGAGGAAGGGTTAGATTCCCGTCCTGGCCAGCCCTTGGATCGACTTACACTCACTCACTCCCACAGCCCCCCAAAACCCCACTGTTTGCAGCCATTCCTTCCAGAGCAAGACCTGCAGCCACACACGCTGAAGACTGATTACAGGAGTGGTGTCACCTGGAGAGGCGCACACCCTGGCTGTCCCGTCCCCAGGCCTGCCATGGAGGAGCGTGGGTGAGAGCGGGTCCGGAGCAGCCAGGACCACGCAGGGAGGTGGGGGACCGAAAAGGGGGCACTTCCAGCTTCCCATGGCAGAGAGGCCTCCTCAGGGGGCAATGTCGCCGCACCATTCACAGTGCGGCCTGGGGGCTGGGAGGGACTGGAGAGCTGAGATGCTTATGATCTTATGTTTTTATGGTCCCTGCTCCTCAGGGTCCTGGTCTCCAGCCTCCTCCCATGAGCTCAAGTCAACAGGTACTCAAGCTGTCAGAGTTCAAGATTTTATTTTAAAACAATAGTAAACAATTTCATTGATTTTTCTTAAACCACCTCACACTTGGCTTGTCTCAGGCAAAATGTAAAAAATAAGGAGGGGAGGAGGAGAGGGGAGGAGAGGCAAATGTGGGGACTGACCAACCTTCCCCAGAACCAGGCCGCCGGCCTGGCATCTGGAACGGCTTTGGACACTGTCTTAAACAACTGGGAAAAGAAAGCACCCGAACATTGTGCTTCAGCAGCAGGTTACGAACCTCCACGGAGAGAGAGGGGGCGGGGTTCGACACAGGTCCCGAGCAGCCTGGTTCAGTTCTAGAACCTTCCAAGAGTCTGGAAGCATGTCCACTCCACAACTCCACATCACAGAGATGGAGAGATCAAGTCCCGTTAGGAGGAGCCGTCCTCTGAGCTGGACAGCGGGGCTCTGAGCCACACCCCGAAACAGGCTCAGGGTGCCCCGGGCAGGTTCCCGGCCACTCAGGGGGCGTCGGGAAGGATAAGGAATGTTCAGAGCGAAGAGAGAAGGGAAGGGCACGGGTGCCAGGCGCCCACCGGCCCCTCCTCTCACCGGCTCCGGTTCCTCTGCGTTTTGTTCTCGTGGAGATGAAGACTAACCGCTCCCACTGGCAGGACCAAAAAGAGCTGTAAACAGCTTGTGTTGCTCACCCACGTGTGCAGGCTCTTGTGCCAGCAGGGACCGCTGACGGGGGGCAGGGGACCGAGAAAGCCCTTGTGGTGAGGGTCAGTGCAGGGAGGACACGATAGCAGCCGCGGACGAGCGCGCTCTGGGCCCTGGCCCCCAGACGAGGAAACACTGAATGAGGTTCTGGAATGGCAATGGTGGCAGGGAGGGCACAGGGGCACTCTCTGGTGGGCCCAGGCCACCTTTCGGGGCAAAGGGCCTGGGCCCTCTGTACCCGGGGCAGCCAGCGCAGAGCAGGCTCTTCCGGCCCCTCTCCAGAATCCTGCCTGCCGTTAACAAAACCAAAAAATAAATAGTGTGTGTTTCTCACGCCCCTGGATGCCTGCCTGGGAGCACAGGTGCGGGGCCGCCTCTCGCCCGGCCCGGCGCCCCCCACCGGCCAGGGGCTGGCGGCAGCACAGGTGCGTCTCCGGCCGAGCGGCCCCACCAGCAGGGGCTCCAGGAGCCTGGCCGAGGGCTGGCCTGGCCCCTCGGGCCACCTTGTTCATGGAAATGAAAGTAAGAAAACAAAAGGCTCCACTGGCGACGGGTCTGCTGAGGTCTCCGCTCCATCCTCTGCACTTCCATCCGCACGGCGTGGTGCGGCCGGATCTGGAGGCTGGGCCAGCCACTCCCCGGTCACTGCAGCTTCGTGCCCAGCTTGCGCTGTCTGTTCCTGCAAAACGGGTGGGAGTCTGGAGTGAGGATGCCTGGGGCTGCGAGGAGGGGACACCTGGCATTCGGTGCCCCCCCAGCTGTCCCCTCCCTACCCACAGTCCCATCAAAACGGGTGAATGCCCACCCAGTAGCCCAGTACCTGGCTCACCAAACTGCCTCCCGCCGGCAGCTCTGCACATGCTGTCCCCCTTCTGAGAACACCCTCTGCCACCCCGACTTCCTCCCTCCACACCCAGCTGCCTCCCCGAGCAGCACCCAACCGTCGGCCCCGCCGGGTGTCCTGAGCGCTCGGGCCCCGGGCGCCATCGCACAGGGAGGAGCCTTGTTCTCCCGGCTCCCGACTGCCGTGGCCGTGTCTCTGCCTCCCGGCACACCGCCTGGCACAGAGCAGGCCAATGCAGAAACTTCGGGAAACGAAGGCAGGTGTGGCCATTGAGCCAGGTGACGGGGGAGGGCCGGGCCGGGCAGGGCCTGGGCCAGGACCATTCTGCGGGTCAGGTGGAGTCGGGCCAGCTGGGGGCTCTCCAGTAATGCGATTGCCTGCCCTCACCACCCAAACCCCTTCCTCCCGGACCAGGGCTCTCCCCTTAGGCTCGTGAGGATTACTGGGACCAGGATGCACCGGTCACGTTTCCAGACGCCCTGCCCTGGCCCGCCCCATGACCCCCTAACCACCTCCTGGGGAAACCTCAGAAACGAGCCTGGCCTCCCCTCAGCTCCCCTCTGAACCCGGCTGGCACCGACCCCTGGGAGCAAGAGCTCCGGCAGCAGCTTCAGAGCCCCGCTCTGCGCCTACTCGCTGGGCAGCGGCACCTGCTTACCCCTTTCTGGGCGCGTGTCCGGACTAAGCACCCTGAGGGTCTCTGTCTGGGCCTACAGCATGGCTCCGGGTCAGCCGGCCCGGGCTCCCAGCCCAGCTTCCCCACCCACAGCCTCTAAGTCACCCAGTGACCCCCCTCCTCCCAGCCTGTTCTCTCAGTAAAACGCGGCCCAGAGGGGCACTGAAGGAGGCGGTGCAAACAGCGCTTCGCTAAGTGCCGGGATCGCGGGGAGCCCCTGAGAACGGGGGCGGTGGCGGCCCCACTGAGCCAGGCCCAGTGAGAGCTGAACCCTAACTCACCTGGCTTCTGCCCGGGTGACTGTGTACTCAAACCAGAGGACGTTGGGAATGAGGCTCGTGTCTCGAATTAGAAAGAACTCGGAGATCGGCCTGCAGAGACAGACACCCAGACCCCGGACCTGTCAGGCCACAAGCTTGTCAGCAAGCCAGAGCCCCCGTCAGTCCTGGAGTCAGCCACGCGCCTCCCCCCACTGCTCAGAGGCCTTGCCCGGACTGCCCCCCCCCCCCCCCCCCGCCACCCCGGCCACTGGGAGAACTGCAAGCGCCGCCTGTGACATGAGGCAGGGCCGCCCACAGCGCACCCAGGGGCGGGCCTCAGGCCGCTTTCCGAGTCCCTGAGTGCCCAGACGGGGACAGAGAAGCGACCGTAGCTTCCGGCGTGAGGAGAGCCCTGGGCAACAGAGAAGCCAGGGAGACGGGGCCTGCAGCCTCAGGCCCACCGGAGGCTGGACACTGGGGCTCCCCCAGGGAGACGGAGGCTGGGGAGGAAATCCCAGGCCCTCCACGAACCGGGACCCGGGCGGGGCAGGCAGGCGGTTACCAGGATGCGATCCTGGGGAACAGAGGAGTGAGGACCTCCTGGGTGATGACGAACCAAGCGATGGCCATGAGGCTCCCGGCGACGCCCCCGTACAGCACCTGGCTCCAGGTGTGATAGCGCAGGTAGACCCTGGGCCCAGGACAAGGGAAGGTCAGAGAGCCGGCCACACACAGGACTGCACAGCCCCCACGCCCCGTGCCAGCTCCTGGGACCTGCGTGTGTACAGGCAGGGACTCCGTGAACATAGCTCAGATCTACTTCCAAAAGAAGGCAGGGGAAGGGGGGGGGGAGACCGACCGACAGTGCCTCCCCGAGGATGAGAGGAGGAGGAGGAGAGGAGGGGGAGGGGGGGAGGGGGAGGGGGAGGGGAGGAGGCCTGCCTCCCTCCTCCTTAGCCCTGGACTCGGGGTGCCTGCCGGGGCTCCTCCAGGACGCTAACGAAGGCTGATGTGTGGAGGGGTCCCCGGAACGCTGGGCTCGGCGGGGAGGGGCGGTGGAGCCGACCCCACAAAATCAGAAGCTGGGACCCTCTCCCCTTCCTACCCGACAGGCTCTGAGACTCAGGTCTGCAGTGAGGACCAATCAGGACCAAACACCCAGCGGGCAGGGTGGGCGGTCCTCCCTCCCCCGTACCTGCTGTAGGAGACGAGGAAGGCCGCGGTGAGGAGAGCCAGGGAGAGCACGTGCCTCCACAGCAAGTCCAGGAACCTGGCGTTGTTCGTTTGGTGCATTCTGGGAAGACAGGCCTGTCAGCTGGCCTCAGCCCACAGCCTGGAGCCCGGCCCCCCAACAGCCCCGGGCCCCACCCACAGGCCCCTGGGCGCCCTCTGCCCTGGCTGCAGCGCCCACCCCGGAGGGGCCGAGCCCCGAGGGCCAGTCCAGGGCCACTCCCGCCGGGAGGACACTCACCTTAAATACAGGAAAAGGAAGGAGTAGACGGAGAAAAACCACATGAACTGGGAGTGGCTGGAGGGCATCCCGTACTTGGTGCCCACTGAGCCGTGGAGGCCTGCGGGGAGAGGACAGGGATGACGGCGGCTGCGGGCCTCCCACGGTGCCCCCCCCCGGCGGACCCGCGTCCCGCAGCCAGGGCAGCGGGCCTCACCTCCGCAGGGCCGCGGCTCCTGGACCACGTGCTTGATGAGCCAGTTGACCCCCTCGTTCAGCGCCAGGCCCCCGAGGAATGAGATCTGTCGGGAAGATGCTGGTCAGCTGGTGCCTGCCGGCCGCCGCCCAGCCCCAAACACCATGGCCCGACTGAACCGCCAGCCCAGCCAGTGGGTAACCTGGAGCCAGCCAGGAGCCACACCTCAGGGAGGGCGGAGGCGTGGAAGGGGCGGCGAAGCCGGCGATGAGCGGGTGCAACCCCCCTCGGTGGGCTGGGGCCGTGGGGAGCAGTGGAGGGCCTGGGGGCTGGGGGGACAGACTCGCTCACCGTGTGCAGCTCCCGCTTGAATATGATGAGGGTCACGAAGCCGACGATGACAAACACAGGGCTGAGGCTCAGGTAGGCGAGGAGGTGGCCAGAGAGGTCACCTGGGCGCGCGGGGGGAAGGGGGTGAGGACGGAGCATGAGCGTCAGCGAGGGGCCGGCTGGTGCACGGCCATTAGCACGTGAGCCGGGAGTCAGGGCCAGCAGCTGAGGACGCCTTGGTCAGCAGAGTGGGAGCTGGACTGGCGTCCGGGTCTGGGGCCTGGTCCGAATACTACACCCACCCGGGCCAAGACGGGAGTTTGGGCCAGCTCCGTCCGCCCAGAGCGGGCTCTGTCCGGGGCAGCCCCGCAGGCACACGGTGCCTCTGGACGCAGTGCTGCGCCGCGGCCGCCCCGGCCGGCCCGGCTCCAGGGCACCTGGAATTCTCCGGCCACACACAGACGGGGGCCAAGGCCAAGGGTGGGGAGAAGGCTGTGCTGCCCGGTATGGACGCCAGCTGCAGTAACACTCACTGCCATTGGCAAGAAACTGGCTACCTAGGCACCACCTGCTCTTTACCATCCTGACCGGCCGGGGGAGGCAGGGTGAGGACTGCCAGCCCCTTCTGAGAGCCGGGGCGCCGCCGCCAGGCGATGAGAGCCACCTTCCCCCAAGGACAGGGCCGGCGTCTAGTTCTAAGACCACCCTCACCATTCAAGACAGGACACTAGCCCTAACCGGTGTGGCTCAGTGGATAGAGAAACAGCCTGCCGACTGAAGGGTCCCAGGTTCGATTCCGGTCAAAGGAACATAGCCAGGTGGCGGGCTGGATCCCTGGTAGGGCATGCAGGAGGCCGCCGGTCAATAATTCTCTCTCATCACTGACGTTTCTCTCCCTCTCCCTCTCTCTCTCTCGCTCTCGCTCTCCCTCTCTCCTTCCTCTCTGATATTTAAAAAAAATAAAAATAAAAAAAGATAAGATAGCTACGTGGCACTCTGGGGTCAGAGGGCATGGCTCAGTTCCCGTGCCAGCACTTGCTGCATGACCTCAGGCAAAAACTCCACCTCCCTGGGCTCAGCTCATCTGTGCAAAGGGGTAACCAGTACCCACCCCCTAGGACTATAGGCGGCACCCAAAGGACTCGCAGTGAGGACCTGGCAAAAGCTGGCCTGGGCCAGTCCAGGGCCACTCCAACCGGAAAGAAGCTCACCTGGGAGCTGGAATGAGACGGGGCCTGTGTGGCACCCAGCTCGGCCCCTGGCACCCAGGACACTTCCACGCTCAGGGCTCTGCTCGCCCAGCAGTTGGGAGAGCCCAGCGTGGGAAATGGCCCACACCATCAGCCTGGCCTCACACAGGCAGCACGGACGGTGCCCACAGGGCAGAGCCCAGACTCAGGCGGAAGACATGGCATACACCCGGCCTCACCCACACCTACCCAAGGCGGGGCTGCCACGGCCAGCTGGGTGACGCGGCGGGGTGAGCCTTCCCCTTCCTGGACCGTCACAAGCGGCCTGGCTGATGCCGGCCCTGAGATTCCGGGTCTCTCAGCCGCCCAGCCCAGAGCACATGACCTGTGCCGCCCCAGCACCAACCTTCCTGCAGATGCTGTGACTCTGGATGCAGATGCCTCCACTCTGCTCCAAGCCCCTCCACGGCTCCCTCTGCCTTCGGGACAAGTCCCACTTCAGCCCAGCTCACTGGGCCGCCCCAGCCCTGCTCCGCTCCCACCCTCTGCTCCAGTTCCCTGAGCACACCGCGCACTGTCCTACTTCGCGGTTTCCCACCTGGGACGTACACTGAGCTCCCAGCACAGGGGCGAGATCCGCCCCGCCCCAGCGGAGCCTGCGGCTGGCCGGGAGCAGGAATAGGTAACGTGCGCCATTCCCGGCATGCCTGTTGGTGCAGCTATCAGGCTGTCCGTCTCTCCCGCGGCCGGTCCCATCAGGGCAGGGACAGGGTCTCTTTACACAACACCCAACCCCCGAGCCCCGCACAGCACCTGGCACTTAACGAGGCTCAAAAGTAACGGCAAGTGAATGGGGACTGGATACAGGAAGCAAGGATCAGAGTGCTGAGGGGTACAGAGGGCAGGGGGCCACAGGAGAGTTAGCGGGGGGCTAGACATTGTGGGGTTCCCCCGGCTCAGCCAGTTCCCTCCTCGGGCACCCACAGTCCTGCACAGGGTCCCCATCGCAGCCTGCATCATGCTGCTCCCAGCGGCCCGGCCTACTCGTAGAAATGTGAGCACTCAGAGAAGCCATGACGGTGCCGCGGCCTTAGCCAAGTCCCTGCCCCTCCCCGGGCTACAGTCTCCCTCCCGGAAAATGGGCCTTATCGGCCTGGTCACCATCCTAAACCCAGAGCTGGGCCAGGGCCTGGCACTCAGGAGGCGCCCAATGCGTGCTGGCTGAGTGAGCGGATGGGTGGCAGGGCAGGCAGGCTGGTAGGGCCCAGCACCTGGCAGGGCCACCCCAGCCCCAGGATAGGCCAGAACACCCAGGGTCAAAGTTCTCTGGCGGCCAGCCCAGGGGCCCTCATCAGGGCCACGTTCTCACATCTCCGCCCAAAAGAGCAACATTTGAGCAGGTCCTTCCTGGGACAGCCAGGGCCCCAGGAGGGACTCACGTGATACCATCCATCCTACCCAAGGAGGGTGGGATGGGCTGAGAGGGTCCCGGGAAGGTGGGCTGATGTGAACCGCGGTTATTGACTGACACTTCCTGTGGCCAGCACCCTCCTCAGCATTCCTCGCGCCCCCTGTTATTTGGTTCTCACGCCACCAGAAGGGCGGCCCGGTGATGACCCCACTTCAGAGAGGAAGTAAGTGGGGCGCAGACAGGTGAAGTCGCTTGCACAAGGCCTGGCTCTGACCCCAAGGCCCACGCTCTGGCACCCGCTCCCAGCCGCCTCCAGAACTGGAGCTCCAGCACCTCCCGGCCGGGAAACCCTGTGCTCCTGGAGCAGTCTGATGGGAAAGCTCCAGAAGCCAGGATCCGGGGGCTCCCCGCTCAGGGCGTGGCACCCCACAAGCACTCTAACTACGAACAGCTGCCCGGCCTCGGCTGCACGCTTCCAGCGGCCCAGATGCGCCGTGTGAAGGCAGCGGGCACTCCCTGCACGCCGGGGAGGGGGCCCGGCCTCGGGCTCCGGGGAAGGCGGGGACGAAGGGCCCAGGTCCAGGCCAGGGATCCTTTGCCTCCTCACACAGACCCCCACCCCACCCCACTGCAGCCCACCCGCGCCCCGGAACCCGAGGGAGCACCCCCGCCGCGCAGCCGCAGAGCGCACGAGCGAGCCTCACAATTTCGCCCAGCTCATCGCCGCCCCACCGCGCGTGCGCGGCGCGCGCCGGCCGAGCCCCTCCGCGGCTCCCTGTTTGACAGTTCCCTCCCCGACATCCCGGCGGCCCCTCCGCGGGCTCCGCGGGCCGCAGCGCCCGGCGCCGGGGGGCCGGCTCCGGGAGGGCGTCCTTAGAGCCGGGGCCGCCCTTTACCTGCAGGATATTCGACGTGGGTGAGGGTGACCGGCCGCCATGAAGCAGGGAGCGAGCACTGTCCGTCCGCTGCCATCTTACCCGGAGACCGGGCTTCGCCGAGCAGCCAATGGGGTGCCAGGGGGGCGGTGGTCCTGACCTATCACGCCAGGGAGGCGCCTCCCGTCCAATCGGAAGCCGGTACAGGTAGCGGCGCAGCCATTCAGCGTGCGGGCCGTGGGGCTGGTCCCAGCGGCGAATCAGAGAGCAGGGCCCCTAGGAGCTTGTGAGCCGACCCAGGCAGCTTCCAATCCGGGGAGAGCACAGGTAGGCTTCTGGCCAATCAGGGAAGAGGAGGGTTCCAGCACAAAACAGAGAGCAGACGAGCCAATCAGGAGGCGAAGCCGGCTCCCCAGTGTGGGCAGGACGGACCAATCGGGCCTTCGTTTGGGAGGCGTGTTGAACTTTGGTGGGAGCTTTGGTTTGGCCAGGACTTGCGCCAGTGAAGGCTTCCCAGGAGCCGCAGGGACGTGGGCGTCCGTCGGAGCACGTACAGGAAGCGGGGGGCACTATGTCACACAGGGTCTGGGTCCCCCGCCTTCTACTTATGAGTAAACTGAAACCCAAGACCCCCGAGGGCACTTACTCTTTCCTTTTTCTTTTTTTATATTTTATTGAATTTTTATAGAGAGGAAGGGAGAGGAATAGAGAGATAGAAACATCAATCAGCTGCCTCCTGCACAATCCCAACGGGGAATGTGCCCGCAGCCAAGGTCCTTGGCCAGAATCGAACCTGGGACCCTTGAGTCCGCAGGATGACATTCTATCCACTGAGCCAAACCGGTGAGGACACTTTACTCTTCTCTTAAGCCATACTAGGAGTGGAAGCTTCATTGAATTTAAGAAAGGCTCCTCCCTTCTTTCATTCAGTTAACAAAGATTTATTGATTCAGTCACATTTATGCTGGAATCTTGAGAGCATTTAAACCAGAAGCCGGTTTTCCCAACACATTCCTTTCAGTGGCCGCCAACAAGGCCCTGCGCGAACAGCCACAGCTTCGCACCCACCTTTCCCTCTCCTCCAGTCCTCCCCCCCACCCCCCAGGCTAGCCTGACCCGCTCCTGTCTCCTAGCCTTGGCACATGCTGTTGCACTGCCTGGAAAGCATCGCCCTCTTGCCCCCCTTCGCCTTGCCAAGTCTCGCTCAAATGTCAGTTCTCACTTGGAGGTTTCTGTGGCCAGGTGGGGGGCCTCCACTGCGCCCCTCTCCCGCCTGGGCACTGACCACACCGGACTGGAATGGGTTCCTTGTCTGTCTCTCCCAGTAAGCAATGGTTCTCTGACTTCATGGGCACCAAGGCAGGTTTATAGAAAATGCAGATTCCTGGGTCTCACTAGGGCAGTGGTTCTCAACCTTTCTAATGCCACAACCCTTTGATACAGTTCCTCATGTTGTGGTGACCCCCAACCATAAATTACTTTTGTTGCTACTTCATAACTGTAATTTTGCTACTGTTATTAATCTTAATGTAAATATCTGTGTTTTCCGATGGTCTTAGGTGACCCTGCTAGCAGTTCTCAACGCTGCTATAGAGCCTAAGACCATGGGTTACAGTCTGCATTCTTTTTTTTTTTTTTAATATATTTTATTGACTTTTTACAGAGAGGAAGAGAGAGGGATAGAGAGTTAGAAACATCAATGAGAGAATCATCGATCAGCTGCCTCTTGCACAGCCCCTACTGGGGATGTGCCCGCAACCAAGGTATATGCCCTTGACCGGAATCGAACCTGGGACCTTCCAGTCCGCAGGCTGACGCTCTAGCCACTGAGCCAAACCAGTTTCTGCACAGTCTGCATTCTTATGTGCTTTGGGTTCTAATACAAGTGATGTCAGCCATGCCTGCAGAAGCCCAGGCCAGACCTAGAACAGCAGCCTGAGAGTGACATCAGTGCTTGTGAGAAGTGAAAATAAACCCGAAATGGCGAGCTCTGCAAGACTGCAGGACAGACAGGTGAAGCCAGGACTGTGGCTCAGCGGAGCGGGCTGGGGGATGATGCTGACTCAAGTCCACCAGCAAGCCAGGAGGGCTCCCTTGGCCGCCCTTAACTGTGCTCAGCTCCCCACCAGGCCCAGCTGGGCTTGTCTGGGTCCGCTGGCCCCACTTCCCTGTCACCTACCCTCAGATACCTCTGTCACTGCCATTATTAGCTTCCGAGAAGCAGGAGGTGTGAGAATGGCTGTGAGTTTCCTAGAATAGTCCTCTGAGACAGGGCAGCCCTCTCAGGTCTAGTGAGGTGCTGGGGGTGGGGGGGCGGTCAGCAGGGGCTTGGCCCCCAAAATGTTAAAAACCACTATTAGTGGTGAGGATAGATGGGAGATGTGAAGAATGGGAATGACGTTTGGTTTGGTTGAGCTTTTTTAAAAAAAAAGTTTTTATTGATTTCAGAGAGGAAGGGAGAGGGAGAGAGAGAAACATCAATAATGAGAATCATTGACAGGCTGCCTCCTGCACACCCCATATTGGGGATCGAGCCCACAATCTGGGCAGGTGCCCTGACCAGGAATCGAACCAGGACCTCCTGGTTCATAAGTTGATGCTCAGCCACTGAGCCACGAGGCCTGGGCTGACTGTGGTTTTTTTTTAAAACTAAACATTCATACATGAAATTCCTGAAATTGAATGTGATGAAATTTCACAAACAAAACACACCTTGCCGAAACCCGTGTGGCTCAATGGATAGAGCGTCGGCCTGCGGACTGAAGGGTCCCGGGTTCGATTCCAGTCAAGGGCATGTACCTTGGTTGCGGGCACATCCCCAGGAGGGGTTGTGCAGGAGGCAGCTGATCGATGATTCTCTCTCATAGATGTTTCTAACTCTCTATCCCTCTCTCTTCCTCTCCGTAAAAAATCTATAATATATATAAATATAAATATATATATATATAATTTAAAAACATCTTTATAAGCAGCCCCTAGATAAAAAATCAGGGCCCTAGTCCTAACCGGTTTAGTAGAGCATCAGCCTGCGGATTGAAGGGTCCCTGGTTTGATTCTTCTGGTCAAGGGGGTGTGCAGGAGGCAGCTGACCGATGTTTCTAACTCTCTATCCCTCTTCCTCTCTGTAAAAATCAATAAAATATATTTTTAAAAAGGAATCAGGGGTCTAGAGGCCCCTGAACACCCATCTGTTCATCCCAGGATGACCACCATCCCTACATCTAACACTATACATTTGATTGGTCTGAGTTTGAAACAGCATCCTACAGTATAGGGTGGGGCAAAAGTAGGTTTACACTTGTATTATTTATTGTACTAGAGGCCTGATGCACAGATTCATGCATTGGTGGGTCCCTGGGCTTGGCCTGCACCCTTCACAATCCAGGACCCCTCAGGGGATGTCAGAGAGCTGGTTTTAGCCCGATCCCCACAGGCCAGGCCAAGGGACCCCACCGGCACATGAATCCATGCACCAGATCTCTAGTGTGCATGCAAGATTTTTGATTAATCTCTTCCTGCCCTCCCCCCTTCCCTCTGAGATTCATCAGTCTGGTCAATGTTTCCATCCCTGTGGTTTCCGCTCCTGCATTGAGTCTCTGCCCCCTGGTGGTCAGCACATGTCATCGCTACCAGCCGGTCAGCCAGTTACTTAGGCTTTTATATAGATTATTTTCCAGACGAACCACTGTAACCTACTTTTGCCCCACCCGTATGTACTGTGTGTGGTTTCTTTTACTAGCATTGTTTGTGAGATGTATCCATGCTGCCCACTCTCATTGCCATATCATATTCTACAGTGCAAACATACCATTTATTTTCCATTTGACTCTTTAAAAATGTTTTCTCTTTATGTGCCTGCAACCAAGGTACATGCCCTTGACCGGAATCAAACCCAGGACCTTTCAGTCTGCAGGCCGTATCTACTGAGCCAAACTGGTTTCGGCCCTAAGTATCCTCTTACAAGCCTGAGATCTAGGCTTTCCCAGATGCCCAGTTATCCCAGGTATGGCTGGCCTTTCACTCCGGCCTCGCCCCTGGCAGGGAGTTCACACAGGGCAGCCCTGAAATTAGAGGCACAAAGTCGAACACTGGTTTATGCGCCAACTCTTTCGCTCTCTGGGCCTATTTCCCCAAAACGTGTCAGCTGCTGCCCTGTTAGAGGTTCCTTCACTCGCTCCGGACTTCTGTGTCTGAATTCCCAGGCAATCAGCAGGGTCCCCCAGCTCTGGTCTCTGGGACTCTGGCTTCGGGGACATCACGTCATGTAGAGATGAAGTCCTCGGAGACTGATGGGGACGGGGAGGGGTGTGCGTGCATCAAACGGACCCAGGAACCAGCTCAGAGGGGCTCTCGCTGGCCAATGTGAGCATCAGAAGAATGCTTGTCACTGTACATATCAAATAAAAACCCATGAGTCCATAGTGGTATGTTGAAAGCTAGTCGGCATCAGAAGTAAGTTACTGGCACATGCCATCAAATGGACAAATCTGAAACATCGTTAGAAACCAGCACAAAGGTCACAGACTGCAGGATTCCGTTTACAGAAATGTCCAGGAAAGGCAAATCAAGAGAAAGCAGGTTGGTGGCGGCCTGGGGCCGGGGGACTTCCTTTCTGTGGCGGTGGGAATGTTCTAAAAGCACACAGTGGGAACAGCCGCACACGCTGTGAATTTACTAAAAATTAACGCAGATGAATTTTATGGCACACATTATACCTCAATAAAGCTGTTTGATCCAACAAAACGACTGGCTAGCCTCAGAGGTGACCAATCGGCTCGCGTCTCTAACACCCGTACAGGAGTCGGGCACTGTCCTTTCTGGGGGAACGAAGCCATCCCCAGCCGATTGGAAAACACATCTTTCAGATACTGGAGAATCGGCGATACCCTCTCCAGGTGTGGTTATGGTACCTTGGCCATGCCCGGGAACTACCTCCTCACTTTAAGACCTGCCTGGCCAGGTGTTGAGGGATGAAGTACATGTCTGGAACTTACTTTAAAAATGTGTTTAAAGAAATGGTGAGATGTTATTACTGACTTGCGGTGTTGGTTTTATGGATAGTCTTTATTATGGTTTTCTTTTTAACTCTTTGGTACATCTGGAACTTTTCAAAGTGACTTTGTTTTTAAAATACCCTTCACATAAACCCTGCAATGCCCAACTGCCCATGGATACACCCGAATATCCAGCAGCTCAGATCCGCTCTGCTCCCACCTGTCTCCGCCCCTCAGCCTGGCTCTCACCAGCGCAGGCTCAGTGACTGAGCCCGACCCTACACTCCTGGCTTCTTCCAATACCCACCTCGTGCAGAATTGAACAGAGACTCAGACAGAAGCCTCACCTAGAAGCTGCCCGAGCTGCCCCCCACCCAGGCCGCCCACCCACACTGTGCCCTCCAGCATTTCCCTGCCCCCCACCCCGCCCCAGGGCCTCCCTGCCTAGGGCCACATGGCCCCTACCAGGCTGTCCTTGACCCTTGCCCTCCTGACACCTCCACTAACTGCACCCCAAGAGGGGTCCCCAGCTGCGGTCCAGGAAGCAGCTGGCCACACATGTACCCAGCAGCATGGCAACGTGGAAGGAAATCCTTTAGATCATTTATTGGACTCGATGTCGGTGCACAGAGCTCACCACACAGAAGTTAGAAGCTGTGACAGATGAGGTGCCGGGGGCAGAGCACAGATGTGTAAACAGAGAAAATGAAAATGCCACTTGTGTGTGATTTGGGAGTAAATCAGTGCGGGCGGGCCCAGGCCCCAGATTACATTCACAGCCGGGAAAGTGTCAGTGACGGAATGTTGGGATGGGAGAGGGCACCTGGGGCCTGACCTCCCGGAGGCCGCAGGTGGGTTTGGGGCCAGAGCCCGGGGAAGCATGGGAAGGGAGAGGGGTGCAGAGGGATGGGTTCCAGGAGGGAAGTGGGCTCACATCTCCCTTGCCCACCCCCTCTCTCCCCCCACCCAAATGGGCAAGATCATCCTTCCCTGGACCCCTCTGCCATTCAGGGAGGGGTCCAGCCTGAGGAGCCAGTCCCCAAATCCAGGGAGTGGAGAGCAGGGAGAGTGTTATTTCTCTCACAGGCCTCCCAACCCGGACGGGCAGAACCTCAAAATAAAGTGTTAAGGCAATAAATAAAACATCCCAGCTCCGGTGAGTCTGCGGGGCTGAGAGAACCTGTGACGGGGACAGATGGCGGGGACAGGGCTGCCTCCATCTGCAGGACCAGCGGGAGGCGGCCCTGCGCGGACTCAGACGTGTGCGTCCCCGTGCGGGGCAGGTCCCTGTCCTGGTGAGGGCTGGGGGCTGGGCCAGCGTCGGCCTCCTGACCTCCGCCGTGTGGTCCCTGGGCCCCGCTCCTGGGCCACCAGCCAGGGCAGCACAGGCGATAGGCCTGACCACTCCCGGTCAGAGCCTCCGCCCAGCACCCAGCACCACCCAGAGTCCTGGGCTCAGGAGGGAGGAGGGTGGGAGGAGGGTGGGGCACAGGCCCCGCCCCGCCTGTCTTTGGGTGGCAGAGCGGAGATGACAGGCTTTGGCAGGGAGGACAATGTCCTGGGTGGTGCTTGGGTCTGACCAGCGCCCAGTCCCTGCCCAGATGGGAGCACAGGAGAGTCCCTCCTGCGTCCCCCTCCTGACGGCCACCTGGAGGCCCCGCCCTCACTGAGTTGCAAACGCTCTGGGTGGTGGTGGGGTCTGGGAACTGGTGGCCAGGGGCCTGGATTCTGAGAATCTCAGCCAGGTTCCTTCCAGCTCAGGACACGGAGGACCTTCCCCACAGAGCCCTGCACCCCATTTTCACCTCCTCCCTCCCAGCCCCTCGTCAGCAGCCCAGAGTGGTGGGAGCTTTTGGGGTCCCACACCCAGGGCACCCCAGCTCTGCCTGCCCCAATTCCCTTCACAACAACTTCCTCTCTCTCTCTTCCTACCGTCCTCTCCCTCAGGCCCCACTGGCCACTGGTCAGCCGCCGCCTCCCCGGGGACAGCCGAGGGCAGCCAGGCCCCTAGGGGCTCCCTCCCTCTCAGGGAAGTTCACGCCCCAGGCCTTGGGGATCCCCAGAATGACTGGGGGTGGGGCAAGGTCAGGGGCAACTGCCCTCGGCACTCACAGCCTGGGCTCTGTGCTGCTGATGCACAGATGCCCCGGCCCTTGATTGTCAACCCGAAGGAGGGAGGAGGCACCTCGGCTCTGCCATCACCACGTGGACGGGGCCCAGCAGCCCCCTGCCAGCCAGCGCCCGCGCGGCTACAGCTCCCCCGGGGGGCCGCTGTCTCGGGGCAGCTCGCCGTTCAGGCCCAGGCTGCCGGCCGCCGGCGCCCCCAGGTAGCCGAGCAGGATCTCGCTGCGTCGCCGGGACAGCTGCAGGATGTCGTCGGCCAGCGCCGGCACCGAGGTGTACCGCACGTTGTCCAGGTCGAACATGTCCCGCAGGTACTGCACGATCTGGTGCTGGGACAGGGCTGGCATGAGACCCGGGCCCCGGCCCCTGCCCACCTGGTGGCCTCCAGACCCCCCAGCCCTCCCCTGGCCTCTGGGACACCGACCGAGTCTCGTGTCCTCGGGTTCTGGCCCCAGGACTCCCTCAGCCCCGCCCACCAGGCTCCCAGCGGAGGGGCAGCACGCTCTCCGGTACCCACTGGCCTTCCTAGGAGCAGCCCGCCCTGCACCCCCGGCACCTCCGGGCCGATGCCAGGGGCCGGGACAGCAGGCCCGAGGGAGCGGCGGCCCCAGCGCCCGCTCACCTTGAAGAAAGCACAGACTTCGGCGAGCTGGGGCTTGGGTCCAAGGAAGCCAAAGGCCAAGACGGGGCTCACGTGCTCCGATACGGAGTAGAAATGGGAGATGAAGCCGTCAGGCACCTGTAGGGAGCAAGGCTGAGCCTGGGACGCCGGTGTCCCCCTGAGGTCTGGTCTCAGAGGGGGCCTGGCTCGGTCACTTGCTGGCTGGGTGACCCTGGGCAGGAGACTCAGGAAGGCCGTCTTTCCACCTGTGCGGAACGGGGGCGACCTCGGGGCTGCTGTGAGGGCTGCATAAGGAGGGGCCTGGGGCCAGCACAGGAAGTGCCTGGGGCCTCTACTGGCAGCAGCTGGTATCAGCAGGGCAGCAGAGCCTGGCTGGCTGGAGGAACAATGGATTGCAGCCCCGATAGTGCAGCCAGCCTCCGCCTGGGAGCGCAGATAACAGCAGCCGATGGCAGGGAGGCCGCTCTGCCTGCCCCTGAGCATCCTGCCCCCCCCAGGGCCTCCCCTGAGCCAGCAGCCACGCCATGCCTGTGCCCTCCCTCCCCCAGAGATGCTCCTCCCTCTCTGAGGCCTTCAGCATCTCCTGATGCCGATGCTGCTGGGCTCCAGGGTGACACAGAGGTGCTCCTGGTAAAAGGGAGGTGCTGGCAGGACAGTGGCCAGCACTGTGACAGAGGCCAAAAGGGGCAGCCAGGCCTGGGGGCTCAGCAAGCACCCTGCACCGCCCCATTCTCCTCACACCTGCCCTGTCCTGCCTCAGCCAGGGACCAGCACGCCCTGACGGGAGGGTCAGCGGGGCGCCACACCCAGAGCCCCCACAGCACCCGCCAGGCCCCTCCAGGTCACTCACCATCAGCAGCCTCCTCTTGGCTTTGAGGACGGACCAGCACGCAGTGGCCAGGGCCTGCACCAGAGACAGACCAGTGGGAGCTGAGTAATGGGCAGGAAGACAGGGCCTGGTGCTGAGCTCTGCTGCTCCCTCCCCTCAGTCAGGAATCACGTCCACCGAAGTCTGCTCGTGCCCCTGACGCTGAGCCCGGGGGCCTGGGCTAGCCACGGAACATCTCTGAGCCCGTTTCCTGACCTGCGGCACGGCCATAGCCGGCGCCCCATCTCACTCAGTGGTGTGGGTCCATGGTGACCACCTGGACTGCCTGCCCTCTCCCGCCCCTGCCAGGTCAGGGCTTCCTGAGGGGCCCTGCAGGGGCCTCAGCGCAGTGCTTCCTCAGTAGCTCCCCTCCTTCTCCCCAGTGAGCCGCATTAACAGCCGCATTAACAGCGGCAGCAGTAAGGAGCGCAGCACAGACGAGCAGACAGTGAGCGCACAGTGCGGAAGGAAAGGCACAGGACAGCACTGGGTCCCTGGGAAGCTTCCCCAGGGCCGAGGGGAGGGGAGCCTGCGCAGGGGGTGGCCGCTGTCTGATGGTGGGAGCCAGCCTTGGCGCCCAGGCCAGGGGTGGAGGACGGGGGCCAGGCCAGCGGGCAGGAGCGGGCAGCACCCACCGTCTCCTTGAAGCTGTCGGACAGCCAGCGGTTCCGCAGCACGGCCAGCACGGAGGACGGCGGGTTCTCCAGGTCCTCGAAGGCGTCCATGAGGATGAAGTCCAGCACGATGTCGTAGAAGCTCATGCACACCACCTGCGGGGGCAGGCGGCACTGAGGGCGGGCCGGGGGGGCCGGGGCTGAGCAGACCCCTCCCTGCTCCACAGTGGGGTGCACTGGGGCCATCCCGCCCCGGCCTGGGCCTAGGACAGAGCGGACACGGGGGCTCCCAGCACCGATGGAGCCTTCCCAGCCCTCCACAAGGCGGAGCTCGGCCAGGCACCCCCTGCTCAGGGCGCAGGGCCTTAGCACGAACCAACTCACCCCGCGGCCCTCCAGCTCCAGCCGCGTGGTGGCCCAGGTCTCCGGCCGCAGAGCGTAGCTCAGCATCTCCTCGTAGCTCTCCAGGAAGCCTTTGGGGCTCTGGGGAGAAGCACGTCCGCGCGCGTCGGGGAGGAGTCGGGGACCCAGCTGGAGCAGATCCGCGGGGACAGGCTGGCCCAGAGGGAACACGCCGATCCCCGAGCAGCAGCCACGGAGAAAACGAGGCGAGAGGGTCCCCTGCCCACCTCGGGGTGCCTCTGCAGAGGACAGGGCGTTTGCAGGACACAAACCAGCGCCCAGCACGTCTCAGCCCGGCGCCTCCCTGAGCGCCCACCGCCTCCCAGGAGAGGCCGGTGCCACCGCAGGAGGGTGAGGGCATGGGGTGGAGCCAGGCAGCCAGAGATCCAAATCTCTGGGACCCTGAGCCTCATGTGAAACGGGAGAAGCTACAGCCCCACACGCAGGGCCTTTCGGGGGGAGTCAACCAGCCACGCACGTAACACAATCAGCCGTGCCCGGACCTCAGCGATGAATAGTGCATGACTGCGGCCGCCGCCACAGGCTGCCGGCACTCCGGACAAGCTCTGCACTCGCCCGCCCACGAGTTAGCTGCCACAGCCTGCAGTGTCCGGACACGGAAAGCTGGTATGTGCCGGGCACCGATCTAATAGAGATTAACTCATCTGATTCCTACGGATCTGTGAGGGACATGCCGGTGTCAGCCCCACTTCAGTTAGGAATACTGAGGTTCTGTGAGATCAGTGACATGCCCGAGAGCCAGGCGGGACAGAGCTGACACAGAACAACATGGACAGGCCGATGCCATTTACACAGAACCACGTGCAGCGGAGGCACGGGGCCAGTGCTCGCTAAAATGTGACGGGGTGGGGTAGGCGCTCACTGAGGAATGAGGGAACAAGGCACCCTACAAGCTGGATGGGGAGCGATGCAGGAGGCAGCTGATCAACGGTGCTCTCTCATCACTGATGTTTCTCTCTCCCCCTCTCTGAAATCAATTAAAAATGAGTGTCACAGTTAAAATAAATAAATACATTTAAAAACCAGAAAGCAAGGTGAGGGGGAAGAAAACCTGAAAGAAGATCCCCCGCGCGCCCCCTCCCGCCCCCCCCGCACAGTACCTTCTCAGCCTTGGTCATCAGGCCCGTCACCATCTGGCGGCCCACCTCCCCGAAGAAGAGCCGGTGAGTCTGGTCCTCCAGGAGGCCCTGAGGAAGGGGCGGGTGAGCTGGCCACGGGCCGTCCCCCCAGCCGTGAGGAGGGGGACACCGTGCCGAGTGAGTGAGCATATGCACAGAGGGCCCGCGAGGGAGCACGCCCCCAGGAGGCCTGCCTGGCCGCCCGTCCCGACTGCCCCTCCGCAGGCGCCGGCAGCACACCCACCTCGAACGCCTGCCGCACGCAGTGCAGCTTGGCCAGGAAGTCGTGGTCGCTGTAGCAGCACAGCAGCTCTGTCCTGAGGGGAGACACACACCGTCAGGCCACCTGGGCCCCGCCAGCGGCGCCTCCGTGTGGCTCTGAGGGGAGCCCGGGCTGGCCCTGCCTTGGCTTGTCAGCGTGACCTCGGGCAGGTGTCTGCCCCCCTCTAGGCCTCCGTCCCCCCAAACCAAAGGACGCGGCTGGCTGGCTGCTCTCTGAGGACGTGGCAGGTCTGGTCCCTGGGGGTCGGGCTGACCTGGGCCTCCTTCAGGCCCCATTAGCCAAGGACAGAAATGGCCAATGCTCCCAGGTGGCAGGACACCAGGCGGGGGCTGCTGCCCACGGGGTCTGCCTCCCCTTTACCCAGTCCCCAGGCCTTCAGCTTCAGCTTCCAACCATTTCAGTCAGCGAACTTGAAACATAATTTAAATGTGAGTCATGACCAAAAGCCAAGTTCTGAGGAGAATTCATGTAGAAGGAATAAGATGCCGACAATACCACAGAAAGGGGCAGAGGGCTGAGGATCAGCCCCCTGTGCTTCTGGGCTGGACTCTGAGCACTTAGGTCAGACACGGTACTGGGACCCTCCCAGGCCCTCTGTGATGGGGCAGGAGCTGGTGCGGCCCATCGGGGCCCTCAGTGAGCCTGGCCCAGCCGAGTCCTCACCAAAGGCCGCCGGCTGCTCGCCTCCTCCGAGGGGGACAGGGCCTGCCCGCCGGCCCCTGCCCCCGCCTCCCGCCCCCCTGCTCACCTGAGGGTCCGGCAGAGCACCTTGCCCTCCTTCACCAGCTGCAGCGCCTCCTCGTACGCGGCAGCGGGCCTGGAGAGCGGGATCAGGTAGTCGTCCACCTGCAGGGACTCAAAGAGCTGGGAGGGTGTGGGGAGAGTCGGTCAGAGCCAGTGTCCACAGCGGCCCCGTGAGGCCCATGCCCAGGGGACACCCTAGGCGGCCTCTCAGAGGAGATGTCAGAAGGAGGCAGAAGCCCGGGTTCAAGCCCAGCTCCAGCCCTCAGTGTCCCCAGGGGACCATACACTGGGCTTGAGCCCCTGTCCTCCCGCCCAGGCCCGGACAGCTGGCCGGGCACACACGGCAGCAGACTGGTGCCAAGCAATGGGCATGCGGCATAGGGAAGGGAGAGGTCATCGGGGACCCTGCCCTCACCCCTAAGACCCGGGACCCCTGGCTTCTGAGGCCTCCCCACCCCCAGCCCCTGCACGAGTCCCCGGGGAGCAGCACGTGGTGGCTGCCAAACTGCTCCCGGAGGAGGAAACGGCTGCCTTTCCCACGACCGTGCTCACCCAGGGCCGCAGAGGGTCCTCCCCTGTCCTCCCCTGTCCTCGGTGTCCACCACCTCCTCCCGCTCACCTCGGGTGTGTGTGTGTGTGTGTGTGTGTGTGTGTGTGTCCGCTCACCTCGGGTGTGTGTGTGTGTGTGTGTGTGTGTCCGCTCACGTCGAGGGGGGGGGTGCGCGTGTGTGTGTGTGTGTGTGTGTGTGTCCGCTTACCTCGGGGGGGGGGGTGCGTGTGTGTGTGTGTGTGTGTGTCCGCTCACCTCTGGGTGTGTGTGTGTGTGTGTGTGTGTGTCCGCTCACCTCGGGGGGGGGGGGGTGCGTGTGTGTGTGTGTGTGTGTGTCCGCTCACCTCGGGGGGTGTGTGTGTGGTGTGTGTGTGTGTCCGCTCACCTCGGTGTGTGTGTGTGTGTGTGTGTGTGTCCGCTCACCTCGGGTGTGTGTGTGTGTGTGTGTGTGTGTCCGCTCACCTCGGGGTGTGTGTGTGTGTGTGTGTGTGTGTCCGCTCACCTCGGGTGTGTGTGTGTGTGTGTGTGTGTGTGTGTCCGCTCACCTCGGTGTGTGTGTGTGTGTGTGTGTGTCCGCTCACCTCGGTGTGTGTGTGTGTGTGTGTGTGTGTGTCCGCTCACGTCGGGGGGGGGTGCGCGTGTGTGTGTGTGTGTGTGTGTGTGTCCGCTTACCTCGGGGTGGGGGTGTGTGTGTGTGTGTGTGTGTGTGTCCGCTCACCTCGGGTGTGTGTGTGTGTGTGTGTGTGTGTGTGTCCGCTCACCTCGGGGTGTGTTGTGTGTGTGTGTGTGTGTGTCCGCTCACCTCGGTGTGTGTGTGTGTGTGTGTGTGTGTGTGTGTCCGCTCACCTCGGGGTGTGTGTGTGTGTGTGTGTGTGTGTCCGCTCACCTCGGTGTGTGTGTGTGTGTGTGTGTGTGTCCGCTCATCTCGGGGGGTGTGTGTGTGTGTGTGTGTGTGTGTCCGCTCACCTCGGGTGTGTGTGTGTGTGTGTGTGTGTGTGTCCGCTCACCTCGGTGTGTGTGTGTGTGTGTGTGTGTGTGTCCGCTCACCTCGAGGGGGGGGGTGCGTGTGTGTGTGTGTGTGTGTGTCCGCTCACCTCGGGGGTGTGTGTGTGTGTGTGTGTGTGTCCGCTCACCTTGGGGTGTGTGTGTGTGTGTGTGTGTGTCCCCGCTCATCTCGGGGGGGGTGTGTGTGTGTGTCCCTGCTCACCTCGGTGTGTGTGTGTGTGTGTGTGTGTGTCCCTGCTCACCTCGGTGTGTGTGTGTGTGTGTGTGTGTGTCCCCGCTCACCTCGGGGTGTGTGTGTGTGTGTGTGTGTGTGTGTCCGCTCACCTCGGGGTGTGTGTGTGTGTGTGTGTGTGTGTGTGTGTGTCCGCTCACCTCGGGGGGTGTGTGTGTGTGTGTGTGTGTGTGTCCGCTCACCTCGGGGGGGGTGTGTGTGTGTGTGTCCCCGCTCACCTCGGGGGGTGTGTGTGTGTGTCCCCGCTCACCTCGGGGGGTGTGTGTGTGTGTGTGTGTGTGTCCGCTCACCTCGGGGTGTGTGTGTGTGTGTGTGTGTGTGTGTGTGTGTCCCTGCTCACCTCGGTGGCAGAGAAGAAGGACTCGTCGGAGATCAGGCTGTCCTCATCGTCCGCCCGCAGGCGCAGCGAGCCCTCGGCCAGGGGCAGCATGAGGGTCCGCTCTGGGAAGAGCAGGGCGGAGGGCTGAGCGGGGACTCCGGAGCACGGAGCTGACCTGCGGACTCAGAGCCTAGAACCCTGACAGGCGGACAAGGGCGACGAGCACAAAGCCCCTATTACTGAGCACTGTGCGTGAAGACGGGCTCAGTGCTCACACGTGGCCTCCTCCAGTCCTGAGTCAGCCGTGAGGTGGGCACCGTGAGGCGTGGGAACGAGGCTGTGCAGGACCTGCCCACAGCCACACAGCCGGACCCCGAGGCCTGGAGGCCCCGGGATCTTCAGGGGAAGTCGCTCCCCTGACAGGCTGAACTGAGCCAATGACAGATACCAAAGGGCTTGAGGGAGTCCACTCTGCTCCTGCCCACCATGTATCGGGGAACGGCTCTGCCCCTCCTGCAGCCTCAGTTTCCCCATCTGTGCAAAAGATTGGAGGAGGTCTGAGGGCCCTGGGGATTCTGTCTGGCTGATGCACTGAGGGGGTCACGCCCCAGCTCTCTCACCGCCTCCCGCCTCCCGCCTGCCCCACCCCACCGCAGCCTGGGGGGCCGCTCACCCAGGTCCAGCAGCAGGCTGTCGGACGGGAAGGTGGACCCAAACTCCTCCTGCAGGTGGTAGGCCCGGTGCAGCAGGGACTCCAGCTTCTCTGCGAACTCCCTCCGCTGGGACTCTGGCTGCGGGTGAAACAGCGCCCATCGCCCCAGGCCCGCCAAGCGCCCATGCCAACAGCCCCTCCCCTCAGCAACAATGGCGCCCGGCCTCTGGGGAGAGGAGCTGGCCCTGGGCCCCCCCGGTGAGAGCACAGATCTGGACCTGAGCTGCCCAATCCAGGAGCCACTACCACATGTGGACAGAGAACTCTGAAGTGGCCAGTCCCAACTGGGATGTGCCCAAAGTATAATCCACTCTGGGTTTCAAAGACTTAGTACCAAGCAAGTAAATAAATAATCTCGGTGATTGTCCATCACACGTTGAAATGGTAACATTCGGGATACATTAGCTTGAATAAAATACATGGTTAAGTTAACTCATCATTTCCCTTTTACTTTTTTCTTTTAATATATATTTTATTGATTTTTTTACAGAGAGGATGGGAGAGGGATAGAGAGCCAGAAACATCGATGAGAGAGAAACATCGACCAGCCACCTCCTGCACACCCCCTAATGGTCGGCTTGGGGACTGAAGGGTCCCGGGTTCGATTCCGGTCAAGGGCATGTACCTTGGTTGTGGGCATATCCCCAGTAGGGGGTTTGCAAGAGGCAGCTGATAGATGACTCTCTCTCATCGATGTTTCTAACTCTCTATCCCTCTTTCTTCCTCTCTGTAAAAAAATCAATAAAATATATTTTTTTAAAAAGATAAAAGCCATTGACATTTTATATTGGTGAATTTTATGGTTTGAGAATTATGTTTCAAGAAACTTGTTAAAAAACGTTTAGCATAGGAAAATACCCAGAACGTCTACGGCCATATCACCCTGAACCGCCCGATCTCGTCTGATCTCGGAAGCTAAGCAGGGTCGGGCCTGGTTAGTACCTGGATGGGAGAAAAATACCCAGAAGGACACTAAGCGGTTGTGTTTGGATGAAGGGTTCCGGGCATCAGCAACACTGATGACAAAGATATTAGGGTCATTTTCTGAGAGCCTACTATGGGCCGGATCACATGGTGGCACTGACATCCCACCGACGACACCAGGGAGGGCAAAGGCCTTTGCCAAGATCAGAGTCTGAGCTCTTATTTTCCCACGCTTTTCTGTCTGTATTTTCACTATTTTGTAAGGAGTGTTTCTCTGCTTTCACAATCAGAAGCACAATGGAAGTTGTAGGATGTTACACTGTGGCATTAGCAGTAAGTATAATTGGGACACTGAGCTCCTCCCTCCACCTCCCTGCCCTACCCTCCCCCGCCCCCCCCCCCCCCGCCTGCCCACACGCAGAGTGGCCCAAAGCAGCTGCCTCCTAGGGCACCGACGGCTTGCTTGCGCCACAGGCGTTTCCCAACCTTTGTGTCCACAACCAGGTGGCCATGCCTGTGTGACAGCCTCTGTCTGAGAGAATGCGCCAGCGGGGGCGGAGGGCCCGTCACCCACTGGTTACAGGCTGTGCCAGGCATGTCCCCATCCTGTTGCTACAAATGCTGATTCCCAGACTCCCGGCCAACAGAGGCACAGGTGGAGCAAAGCAGGGGGCGGGGAGGAAGACAAAGAAACTCTCCCCTCCTCCTCCTCCTCCTGCCTCCCACCATACCTCTGCCCCACCATACCCCTGCCCCACCCTACCAAAGTGGGGTCAGCCCCATACAAATGACACTGCTGTGGATATTTGTATGTAATATCTAGGTGCTAGCTTCCAGGGCACATCCCTCCAGCCCTGGGACAACCCAGCTCCTCCCTCACCTGTACACCCAAACCCCGGGAGGAATAACCGCCTCCCGTTTCAACAACTGAGGTTGCTCCCATTTCCTGGCTAACACCGGACTGACGTCAGGGACAGAAGTGTCGGACGGCTCCCCAGAGACGGCCCTCCCGTGTGGCCTCGCTCCAGCAGAGCACCGGAGCTCAGAAAGACTTCGTTTTTAATACAGAGAAGTGCCAGGAATAAAGCAGCCCTAGCCAGCTGGGCTCAGTGGACAGTGTCGGCCTGTGGACTGAAAGGTCCCAGGTTCGATTCTGGTCAAGGGCACATGCCCAGGTTGTAGGCTTGGTCCCCAGTAGCAGGTGTGCAGGAGGCAGCCGACCAATGATTCTCTTACCATTGATATTCCTATCTCTTTCTCCCTCTCCTTTCCTCTATGAATTAAAATAAAAATCTATTTAAAAGAATAAAACTGCTGGCACCAGTTTGGCTCAGTGGATAGAGCGTTGGCCTGCGGACTGAAAGGTCCCGGGTTCGATTCCGGTCAAGGGCATGTATGTACCTTGGTTGTGGGCACATCCCCAATAGGGGGTGTGCAAGAGGCAGCTGATCGATGATTCTCTCTCATAGATGTTTCTAACTCTGATCCCTCTCTCTTCCTCTCTGTGAAAAATCAATAAAATATATTTAAAAAAAGAAGAATAAAACAGAAATGGCCCACAAGCTCATCATGTATACAAGCCCCGCCCATGCATGTGCTCAACATGAGAAAAGTCCAACAGCACAGGAAAGTCCTGAAAAGTGCAGGGAAGTACCATACAAGCCTTTCCACCTCTCCCTGCAGCCCCGCTCCCACAGGGCACTGCTAACCATTTCCCACGTGTACCTGTCACGGAAAGGAAGACTGCACGCATGTACCAGCAGCTACCAGGAAGCGCACAGATGCACGGATGTCTTTTAAAAACGCACACCTAGCTGAAACTGGTTTGGCTCAGTGGATAGAGCGTCGGCCTGTGGACTGAAAGGTCCCAGGTTCAATTCCAGTCAAGGGCATGTACCTTGGTTGCGGGCACATCCCCAGTAGGTGGTGTGCAGGAGGCAGCTGATCGATGTTTCTAATTCTCTATCCTTCTACCTACCTCTCTGTAAAAAAAATCAATAAAATATATTTAAAAATAAGTAAAATAAAAATGCATACCTGCATCATTTTATACACATTCTCCATCTTGCTTTTCTCACTTGCTATATCGTGGAGATAGCAGCCTAACAGCCCACATAATTTCCCTCAGCCTTTTTTTTTTAGTTTATTTATTTATTTATATATATATATATTTTTTAAATATATTTTATTGATATTTTACAGAGAGAAAGAGAGAGGGATAGAGAATTAGAAACATCGATGAGAGAGAATCATCGATCAGTTGCCTCTTGCACACCCCCCACTGGGGATGTGCCCGCAACCAAGGTACATGCCCTTGACCGGAATCGAACCCGGGACCTTTCAGACCGCAGGCTGACGCTCTATCCACTGAGCCAAACCGGTTTCGGCGTTTTTTTTGTTTTGTTTTTTTAATATGTTTTTTTTCATTTCAGAGAGGAAGGGAAAGGGATAGACGCATCAATGATAACAGAGAATCATCGATCGGCTGCCTCCTGCACATCCCCTACTGGGAATCAAGCCCGAAACCTGGACATGTGCCCTGACCGGGGATGGAACCGTGACCTCCCGGTTCATAGGTTGATGCTCAACCACCAAGCCATGCTGGTCAGCCATCCCTTGGCCTTATAACAGCTGCACAGTATCACACACCCTACTGATAGTTCCCAGTTTTTCAACTATTACAAAATAATGCTTCAGTGAACATCCACCCTAGGACATACATTTGGCGTGCTCTTCACACACGTTTTATTTTAGCTTCTTCACTGAGTCTCTTTCCTGACACTGAAATAAAGGTTCACTGCAGAAAACTTACACAATGCCCCTCAAAAAGTCTAGGACAAAGGCCATGTGATCCGCTGCCCAAGGAACAGAGGCTATTTCCATCAGTCCCGCAGGAACTGGCGTCAGGGTGTAAGCATCTCTGTGGTTTACTGCATACTTACCGAGCGCCAGGCATGTGCTCGGCACGTTACTGGATGGACTGACAACCTGACCAAGGGGAAAACTCCATCCAAGGGGATGAGTGACTGGTAGACAGGAGGCAGGGCTGCTAGGCTGCCTCCGAAAGTCTGGCTGCCCACCGGCCTCTCCGCGGTCAGGGGTGGGGACCTACCTCAGAAAGCACCTCGGAAGCGGTCTCGGGGTTCCGGAGGCCGTCCCCTGGTGTGGGGGTGCTGCCGCTGTCTCCCCTCTGCCCCACGCTCAGCGCCTGCTCCCATTTTTGCAGCGCCTCCTCGAATAACTCCATGCCTGGGCACGGGCGGAGAAGGGAGAGTCAGGCCCAGCAGGGAGCAGCCGGGCCCTGCACAGCGTCGCCTGAGAGGGCCCCGACGGACAAGAAGGAGCAGGACCGTGTGGGCCGGATCCTGATCAGTTTTTATTTATTTATTTTTTTAAAATATATTTTATTGATTTTTTACAGAGGGGAAGGGAGAGGGATGGAGAGCTAGAACACCGATGAGAGAGAAACATCGACCAGCTGCCTCCTGCACACCCCCTACCAGCAATGTGCCTGCAACAAAGGCACACGCTCTTGACTGGAATTGAACCTGGGACCTTTCCGTCCGCAGGCTGACGCTCTATCCACTGAGCCACACCGGTTTCGGCTTGATCGCTTTTTAAAGATGCTGAGTTTATAGGCATTATTTAGATCTGATTTGTTCCCACCCTGTCCCCTGCCCAGAAGTGGCTGGAAACCAGGGAGTGAGGGTTTGGGGGCAGGGAGGGCGAAGTGGGTTGCAAAGCAGCCCCTGGAGAAGTGCCCTGGGCCTGGCCTGGGCCATTCCCGCTGGCCTGCCCCACCCCGGGGAGCTCAGGCCACCTCCGGCCTGTACCTTGCATGTAGAGGCTCTCGGCATTGCCATCGCTGGTCATCACAGCCTCCTCCATCCCTCTGCCATCCCATGGTCCCGAGCCCGCAGCTGCGGGGCTGGATGTGTTCACCGCCACCATCTAGACACAAAGACCCAGGGCAAGGGGTGAGGCTTTCCCAGTCCCTCTGCAGGCCCCGGCCGCCCCAGCGCCTGACCGAGTGCCTCACACACCCGCTCCAGGCACCATCCCTGGAGCCAGCCCCGAGTGCAGAGGCCCAGGCCTCACACAGCCTGGTCCTCCGTCTGCGAGCCCTGACACCTCACAGAAACCGCCGGGGTGGGAGGAAATATGGAGGCCCACACCCAACCCAGGACTCAGCAGCCCCCTACGAAGCCCGCCCTGGGCCCCTTCCCTGCTCTGAACTCCGCTGCCAGTCAGACAAGGAAGACTGAGGGAGCACCCAGCACATACGGCCAGCCACGGCCCATGGCTGCCACACAGGCAGCCACCTCCGTGACGGCTCTGGTTTCTCCAGAACAAGAGCTGCCTCTTGCTCACCCCTGGTCCCCAGGCAGGCCCCGTGCAGAGCTGGGGCTCAGTCCTGACGGGGTGAATGAATAGCTAGATGAGTGAATGAGCCGAAGTCACTCCCCAATGACTATAACCTCTCTTTGTCTTATTCACTTCTGTATCCTCAGCACCAAGAAGAGTCCCTGGCCCAAAGCAGATGTTCACTCAACATCTAATGAATGAATGAGTGAATGAATGAACTTTCATAGATAAGTATCTCCCCCAACAGCCATGAGCTTCTCTTCTGCACCTACCCATGTTTTCCCGCCCATGCCTGGCACTCAGTGAGCGATCAATGGCCATCTCTAATAGCCTGCATGGATGGATGGATGATGAGTGAACAAATGCACGCATGCATGCATGAATGAGTGAAAGACTAAATGAAATCTCTACGCCCATCTCCCTACCACTCCACAGCCCCGAGGGCAGAGACTGCCTCAGTAGCTGGGGCTGAGCCTGAGGCTGGGGCAGGCCCCTGGGAGGCACCCCCCGTCCTCACCGAGGCCAAGCTGTGGGAGGAGCCTGAGCGCTTGCTGGGCTCAATGGAGGAGATGCCGCTCAGCGTGTCGTTGCTCTTGCTACTGGGGCTCTGCACCCTCCGGCTGGAGTAGCCTGTGAGGACAGGGAAGAAGGGGTCCCGCAGGCTTCCATCGGCCTCTGGACGGCTGTCCCCCCCAGAACCCGCTCCCCTCCTCCTCTGGAGTCTGTCCTGACCTTCGACTCCGGTGCCGGCAGAGCACCCCGAGCTGTGCATCTGGCAGAAGACTGCTGGCCCTGCCACTCGCTGTCTCCCCACCCCCAGCACAGCGCCCCCCCACCCCCCAGCCCCCCTTCCCCGCCCCTCCTTCCTCCGCCCATGCTGCTGGGCGAGGGGCTGACTGGGAATTCTCCTTCCAAAAGGATTCAAGGTAACACTTTTGAAGATACACCAAGGACAGAGGCTGGTGCCAAAGTGGCTCCCGGTTTCCCAGGGGCCAATGCCAAGCAGAAGCCCAGCGAACCAGCGTTTCTCGGGTCGTTCTGAACAAACCTAAAGACTCCCTTTCCCACGGGGAAGATAAGACCTTCCCTTTGCGATGATAATTCAAACGAAAGCTCATTTCACACAGGACCCAGGTTTACCCAAAGGGCCCAGGTAATGAGGACAGCCGCTACCTCCTGGACACGGGCTAGGCCACACCACCCCCACGTCCTTCCACTGTGAACCCCGCTTCCCAGGATGTCCCTGGCCCAGGACCCCACAGTTAACAGGGGCCCAGCTGGTGCAGGCCAGGCCTCCCCTCGCCTCACACCTACCTTTCTTCACCGACGGGGTCTTCTTGGCCATGAGGACGGGGAGGGGCACCGTGCCCAGATGCTCACCTCCCATCTCAGGGCCGACCTGCTTCTTCCTCCGCCTCCGCCTCTTCAGCTGGTGGGCGGCCAGGGCCAAGGCCACGGTCCCCAGGGCGGTGGCAAACAGGACCTTCCGCAGGCCTGGTGTCAGCCGCAGCTGCGAGAATGCAGACTGCAGGGAAAGAGGGGGCAGCTGCTGCATCTCCCCGGAGAGCGGGGAGCGTGCCGGGCCCTGGGGATACCTGCAGACCAGGGGGACGGCCACCTCAAGAGAGGGGACCTGGCCAGCCGCTCTGAAGTGTGGCCCACACAGGTGTAAAGGGAGGGCTGGGGATGGCAAAATGACGATGCCAAGGAGATCAGCCGGGGCCCAGCGGGTCATGGCTAGCAGCTGAGTGCCTGGGTGCCTGCCGTCAGGCGCTGCACCAGGACTTCCCCGGCGTTCCCGGTCTGATCCTGTCCTTCTCCCGGTGAAGAGTCTGAGGCTCACCCTGCTGTTGAGACCCATGGTCAAGGTGACAGAGAGACAGACACTGAGCCCAGGTCTGCCAGCTCCATTACTCAAGGGCTTCTTCAAGACGATGACATTCACTCCACCCAACCGTCCGCATCCCTCCTCCATTCTCACTCTGCCTGCTGGACCCAGAGTCCCTCTGGTGGCGCTCACCCCACGAGGCAGAGCTTTAGAGGGTCAGGAGGCCTGGTCAGCACAGGTGAAGGCCAGGCGAGGGGCCCTGGACTCCTAGCCCGCTCCCTCTTGCTCTGCTCAGACAGGAGGCACCGGACGCCTGAGCAGCAATGACGAGGGCCCGGTTTTCCAGATGGTCAGCGCTTCAGGGACCAGAGCGATTAAGGCAGGACCACGAGCCACCCACTCCTCACCTGTCCCAGCGTCGTGTACAGGAACACAGGGATCTCGGCCACCGTCATGGCCAGGGCCTGGATCATGGACATGCCCTCCGTCCTCCGGAACGCCATGGCGGGACCGGCACCCAGGCCAGAGCCCCGGGGGGGAGTGTGTCCTGGGAGAGCGTCTTCAGCTGGCTGCCGGCCGGGTCCCAGGAGCCATGCACGGCCCCGAGAAACAGGAATGTGCACACCGGAGGGTCCCTCCACAGAGCTGAGGGACAGACCACGTCAGACACGAGGACATGTGCACAGGAGAAATTCACACAAGTGCCTGGGGCATCTGGAGGGCAGAGCCTGCACCCGGAATGCCAGGGCGGGCAGGAAGGCGGCCACATGCCCCACAGCCCCTCTGCCCGCCATGAGCCGGGGGCAGAGGCGGTGTCGCTGGCATGCTGGCCCAGAGCAGCCCCAGGGAGGAGAGGGAGGGTCACTCAGACGTCCTGGCCTTTCTGCTGGACAAGAACCTCAGGCCTCTAAAGAGCCAGGCCCCTGAGAATCATTACAACGTGTTCAGCTCCCACAAAGCCAAGAATGCTGTACTTCCTGTGTGCAAACAGCGGCCATTTCCTCCCGTCATAACAATGGCAGCTTTACACCTCTGTGCATGGTTTGTGCTGAGTTCTTCATCTATATTATTTCTCTGACGGATGGCAATTCTGTAAATAGATGCCCTCTACCTGTGCCCCCAACCATGCCAACTGCCAATGAGGAAACTGAGGCTCACAGAGGCGGCCAGGAGTCCCAACTGACACAGAGCTGGTGTGAGGCAGGGGCAGAGCTGGGACCGAGGTCTCCCGGACCCCAGTCTGTGCTCAATTCCACGTGGAGCAGGAAGTGGCAAGCCCCAAAGACAACAGACCACAGGGCAACTTTCCCCTGGGGTCTTCCGGGACCCTCCCAGGGCACCCGCTGCCCATTCCAAACAGCGAGAAAGCGGCTTAACCACAGAGAGCGGTCCCCGCACACCACCCCGAGGCCAGGACGCCTTCCAGGTCTCCCCCGGGGGAAGCTCAGGCAGAAGGAATGTGCAGGCCACACAGACCCTGTCTCCTTGGGCGGGCGGCCAGAGTCACTGGACCAGCACAAGAAACAGCGCATTCCCGGGGAGTGGGAAGGAAGAACAGCGCTATCAGCCCAGATCTAGGGCTGGGCTCCAGGGTGAGGGGGCTGGCTGGGAAATGTCCTGGGGCTGAGGGAACCGTCATGGCGAGGGCAGTAGCCCTCCTGCCGGGAGGCTGCAAATTCAGCTACGTGATGGCCAGTGGTCAGGGCCGGGGTCCATATCGTAAGCCGCCTCTCTCACCCTCTTCAGCAGCTGTTTCCCAAGCACTGACTGCAGGCCAGGCCGGGACAGGCTCTCCACGGAGGGCCTGGGTCTCCCAGGGTCACTCACAGAACTCTCGTGACCACTGCATGCAATGGGGAAACTGAGGCTCTGAGAGGTAAGTGGCCTGACTGAAGTCCCCGAGTCAATGGCCAACCAGGGATGTGACCTCAGCTGCCCGCTGCAACTGCCACCTCTCCAGGCCACACCTGAGGCCTTCTGGGTCCCCAGGAAAGACGCCCATACGCAGCACTAAGGCTGAGCCCAGCCACACGCTCCAGGAGGGAGACAGGGCTGGGAGGCCTGGCCTGTGTCTGCAGGGAGGTCAAGAGCAGCCCCTGAGCCTGCTTCACTCCAAGGACGGATCCAGATCCAGCCCAACAGCGCTCTCCAGCCCCCGGCTCTATCCAGGGAAAAGCCTCCGTGATGGTATCCCCACCCCACAGACACTTCTAATGCCATCCGTCCCGCCCCCCTCCCCGGCAGTCCCGGGCACCTGCTCATTCCATCTCCCCACAGCACTTACCACACCCTCAGCCTGGATGCCCACACTCTCCACCCCCTCTCCCTGGCCGCTCCCATGAACGGCTCTGGCCTTAGCAGCCTCCCTTTCGGTCTCGACCTCAGCAACGACCCTGACCCAGGCGCTCCCTCGAACCACCCTCTGCCCAGGCTCACTCAGTTCATTTCACCCTGGACACCTCACCAGTCCGACCGGGCAGGGAGCTGGGCAGTACACCCTGGACCTCAGCAATCTCCCCGCCTCCCCGCCTTCACAATCTTTTCAGCCCGTCCATCCCGACCCCTCCCGGAGCAGCCGGGTCAGGCCCCGCCCCTCCGGCCCCGGACCTCGGGGTAACTCCGAGGGTCCGCCAGGTGCCCTCGGTCGCCGCCACGACCGGCGCACCGCTCCTTCCATCCCGGGTGCCTTCCCGGCCCCGCTCCGACCTCCACCGCGTTCCAGGCCCGAGCATCCCCCCGCTGGCCGGGCGCCTTCCGTTCCAGCTCTCGCGCCGCCCACGGCCAGGCACCTGCTCATTCCAACCCGGGCCCTTCGAGGCCGGCTGAGCCCGGACACCTGCGCCCTCCCCGGGCCCCGCGCGGGCCCGGCTCCCGCCGGCTGCAAGTCTCCGCCCCGGGCCCTGCCGCGCTGCCCGGCCGCCCGGCGGGCTCAGCCCCGGCCGCCACTCACCCGGGATCCCATCGCTGCGAAAGGGCAGCGTCTCCTTCCCCGGCGGCCGCGCAACCAACCTCTCAGCCGCGGGGGCGTGGCCTCACGCACGGCCAAGGCCCCTCTTGGCCAATGAGCGTCCCTGAATCCGGGCCGCTCGGGCTTCTGGTCCAGGGGGCGTGTCTCCTTCCGCCCCGCCCCCTAGTGCGGTTGAGGCAGGAAAGGGATCTTTCCTGCCCTTTGATTGGCCCGAGGGCTGACGTAGATTGACACGGAGGCTGGTTAAGTGAGGCGCAGCAGCTCTTAAAGGGGAAAGCCATCAGGTTCGGAAGGGGCTGTATGGAAGGAAGCTGCGGCCCGGTGCGCCCACGTGTTTGGCTCCGGCACCCTTTGGGTCCCCACAGACAAGTCCTTCCCGCCCTCCAAGCGTCCATTTTCAAATGTCAGCGCCACTGTATCCTCTTCAACATTTGCCAAGGCCACCTTCTCCTGGAGCTCTTGGCAAAAGTGCTGTCCCCTGCCAGCCAGCGTCTCCCCTGGAGCTGGAGCCCAGTGGTTCCGTTCTGGTTCGGACAGTGCCGTTGTGCCTTGTGACAAACACTGGGTTTGGAATCAGTTCTACCACCTCAGCTCTCTGGAGGCGATTCCGTGTCCCCCTCCGTAAAAATGGGGATGCCATTCCTGCCTCCCAGCACTATGGTTGGGCTTGGAAGAAAACAGGGTGAAGAGCTGGGTACAACTAAGTTTCTTAAAAAGTGATTTTCTGTAAGGTCACATTCTTTCATTCATTCAACAACTATTTCTGGTTGCCAGCCCTTTGCCAGAGTGGTGGACAAGATACATTGCAATTAAGCCCTAACCAGTTTGGCTCAGTGGATAGAGCCTTGGTCTGCGGACTGAAGGGTCCCAGGTTCCATTCAGGTCAAGGGCATGTACCTTGGTTGTGGGCACATCCCCAGTAGGAGGTGTGCAGGAGGCAGCTGATCGATGTTTCTCTCATTGATGTTTCTAACTCTCTATCCCTCTCCCTTTCTCTCTGCAAAAAGATCAATAAAATGTATTTTTTAAAAGATACATATTATTAAAATACTTAAATACACCTTCAGGGACCTGGGGAGCATGTGTGTGTGTTTGCGGGGGGGGGGGGGTGTTGGAGGAGCTCAATCAGCTGTTCCCAGGGGTGGAAGGAGAGCCCAGCCAGCCTGTCCTCGGCTCGGTTGTCCTCAGTGCCAAGGTCAAGGGCAGAGGGAGGATGCTGGAGAGGTCAAGGTGGTGGTGGTGAGCGGCGCAGAGACCCAAGGCCAAGGGGGCGGGCAGACGGGGATGCGCAGGGACAGAGCGCGATGAGAGGCACCGATCGATGGAGCGGGGCCCCGCGAGGAGGAAGCCCGGGGCCGCCAGGCGGCGCGAGAGGCCGCGGGGACGGAGCCCGCAGCGCCCGCCGCCCCGCCCCGCGGCCCAGGCTCCGCCCGGCCGCCCCGCCCTGCGCTCGGGCTCGGTCCTGGCGGCGGCGGCGGGCAGAGGGCTCCCGGGGGCGAGGCGGGCGCCGGCAGCAGGTGGGCGGGGTGCGGCGGCGGGGGCGCCGGGCTGCGGGGGCCGCGGCCCTCGGAGCGCCATGGACTTCAACATGAAGAAGCTGGCGTCGGACGCGGGCATCTTCTTCACGCGGGCGGTGCAGGTGAGGCCGGGCCCGATCCCCGGGGCCCGGGGGTGGGGGTGGGGGGCCGCCAAGGGCTGCCCTGCAGCCGAGCCAGAGCCCGGGGCGCGGAGAGGCCCCGGAGGCCGCGCCCCCTCCCCTGCGGGCCCCGGCCCCCCGCATCCCGCTCCTGCTGCCCGGAGAGAGCTCCGGCGCCGGCCGCACCCTCCCTCGACGTGGCCGGGCGGGGAGCTGAGCAGGGCCGGCCCCGCTGGCTGCCGGGGAGGTATCGGGGCGCAGCCGGTGACCCCGCTGCCCGGGCCCCCGCCCAGGGCCCGGTGGGAGCTCCGCTGCGGAGGGGAGAGGCCCCCAGCCGCGCCTGCTCCGGGCCCTTGTCCAGCAGTGACTCCGGCTCCTCTGGCTCCTGGCAGGCCTCGGCAGGCCGGAGCCCCGGGCCAGGGATTCGTGCATCCCCCCCCAAGACCCCGCCTGCCGGCCTCAGTCTGCGCCCCCGCGCAATGGGCGGGCGGTCCGGGACTCCTGCACGTCCCTTTCACCCGCCTGGATAGCCAGTCCGGAAGCCCAGGGCCGGGGTAACTTCCTTTCCGCTCCTGGGGAGGCCTGTTTCCTCTTACTCCCGGGCCTGGGGGGTCCGGCCCGGGACCTTGGAAAGCTGCCTGTCTGTCCGGGCCAGTGATGCTGGGACTGGAACCAGTCCTCTCCACTGGGAGGCAGGCAGCGAAGGGGATGGTAGAGCTGGGCCAGCGGTGGGTGTGGGGCGCCCCCTGGGGAAGGGGCGTCACGCTCTGGGCATCAGTTTCTCCATCTGAAACATGGGGACCGCCCTCCCTCCATCCCGGCACGGCTGGCAGGGCTCCTGGCAAAGCCTGGCAGGTGGAGCTCACCACAGGCAGGCTCCCTGTGGTGCGGACGCTGCACCTGTGCAGCCGGTGACCCTGGGAAGTCGCTCCCGCGGCCTCCAGTCCCCTCCCGCGGAGCCGGACCTGGTGGAACTGGTCTGTGCTGGGCCTGCTGGGCCTGCGGTCCCGTCTGGTGTCCGTCCTTGGCCTGTTGTTTGTTCTCTGGAGGAGCCCAGCCCGTCTCTGGGAAGCCATGTGGCCATGTTTACTAGAAAGCACAGCAGCCCGTTCCGGAGCCCTGCAGGTGACTCCAGCGCGGTGGGGACCCCGGAGCCCCTGGGGCAGCCCGCCTCCCTGGCAGGTGGGGAGTCCTCCCCAGGCTGGAGTAGCAGGCGTGTATCTCTCACATCTGGGAAGAACTGATCCGGTTTCCTCTGCCAGGACCCGTGGAGCCGGGCACGGAGAGGCTTGGGGCCCTCGGCCTGCCTTCGCCTGGTGGGCCAGGCCCACGGGGGACCCGCACCAGAGGGGGAGGCAGGCCCAGGCCCAGCCTCCTGGGTGGAGGAGGGAGCTGGGAACTTTATAAATAGAGGCTTTCTCTGGCTTGCACGCCCACCCCCTGCTGCTGCCATGTTGCAGGGAGCAGCCGTGGACCACAGGCTGCAGCTTCTGAAGCGTGGGCCCTTCCCCTCCCAGGATCGGGGCAGGATCGGGGCAGGGGGGCAGGGGCAGGGGGGCAGGCCAGCGGAGGCAGGGCCTGAATTGTGAGCTGAGCAGGAGAGGACACTCGGGACCTGCCCAGGCCAGGCTGTCCGGGAGAGGAGTCAGCCAGGAGAGGCGGGAGGGGTGTGTGAGTGACAGTGTCCCAGCAGCGCCTCTGCAGGTCCCGGGGCGAGCTGGGGAAGGGCTCAGCTCTTCCATGTACCAGGGCCTCATCTGTTAGGAACAGGACCTGGGCTGAGGGGGACGGGGGAGAGAATCCGGAGGGCAGGACCCCTTTGGCATGGGCGATCCTGGGGTGGCTTCTTAGCCCCTGAACTGTGCCTTGAACGTCAGGAGGGGTTTGTGATGTGCGTCCAGGGGGTGGGAAGGGCCCAGTAAGGGCAGTGAGGCAGGAAAACCTGAGGCAAGCCTGGATAGGGTGCTGTGGGGGCGGGGCGGCCTGTACAGGTGATAGAGCTAATACTGTCAGTGGTGATTACAGTAATAGTAATAGCAGGAGCAGCAATGATAAAAGCCAGGGAGGTGGTAGCATCGTCATGATCTGAGCAGGCAGCTGTGGACACGGGGTGGATGCCCAAGAAGTGGGGCGAGCCTGGCAGGACTTTGAACCTGGGTGGACATGGGGTGGCCGCGAGCTGGGTGGGGAGGGGAGCTGGGAACCTTGGTAAGGCAGGTGTGTGTCACCCAGATGCGGCGACTCGTACCGCTGGGCTAAGGGTCCCTCGGTAGCTCCCGAGAGCCGGAGAGAGACCCTTTTGTGAGTGCTGGCGACAGCAGCTAACATTCCTCAGACCTGTGTGGGTGCCGGCCCAGGGCGAAGCGCTCTGCAGATATTCTGAGATAAGTCCTGTCACCCCCTTTCTCCAGCGGGAAACGGAGGCCTGGAAAGGTGCCAGCGCCTCTGAGCCCGGGTTTCCCCACCAGGAAAACGGGGCTCAGGCTAAGCCTCTGAGGGCTGGGCGTGTGGAGTCAGGGCCTGGGAGGCCCGAGGGAGGGGCAGAGGTCAGAGGAGGCCGGAGCGGCTGGTCTCAGGTGGGGAGCTGCGGCTGTCACCCTGGCCCGCGGGGCCCTCCGGAGAGAGAAACCCAAGCCCTGTTGCATAATTGATGGCTGCCGGGCAGCCTGGCTCTCAGTGGCGGCCTCCGCTCCCGCAGCTGGAGCTGGCCTGGTCTCTGGATAATGTATCAACCAAACGGTCCGAGAAGGGCCTCCCGACCCCTGGGCCATGTGACCTGGATCCCCGCACTGTCTGCTCCTTGCTCGGCCTCAGTGAGATCATCTGTGAAATGGGAAACTTGACCCGACCCGCCTTGAGGGGCCGTCAGCGTGTGGATGGGCCATCAGCATAAAGCCCTCAGCACAGGGCTCGGCCCCGGGACGCCAACAGGAGCTGTTACCACCAATCCCATTCCTGCATGCTCATTCTTCTGCTGATTAGCTGTGACCTTGAGCCGCGCTCTTTCCTCCGGCTGGAGAAGGCCTTCCAAGGGCCCTTCTGGAGCAGAGGGGCCAGGACGTGGGCTGGGTTCTGGCTGTTTCTGGTGGCCCACCAGCTTCTGACCGCTCTGACGGCGGAGCAGTGTGACATCCTGGCCCCGGTGTGCGGCTGCCAAGCGTCCTGGGCCCTGGGTGCGCTCAGGGTTGGCTCTGAGGGGCTGGCGGTGCCCCATCCGCCCACCTGGTGACCAGAGGCCGGCCATGTGGCCTCCTCCCGCGCAGCCCTTCCTCCCAGCGCCTCTCCGCCCAGCGGCTCCCAGCAGCACGTTGCACTGAACACCGACTCCCGCCAGACGCTGGCCCGCACGTCTTACCCACCTCTCCCTTCCTTCGGGCTCACAGCCGGGGGGAGGGGCCTCTGGAAGGGATAGTACTCACAGCCTGGGAGGCGGTGCTGCTCCTTACCCTCATTTCAGCTCAGGAGACTGGTGCGTAGAGAAGC